TCGTTGCTGATGTCACTTCCTGATGTTTTGGGGGTTTTCTTCACAGCTCTCACCATATTTCTGTCATCAACTATTGTAGTTTTCTTTGGCCGACCTGTTGGACGTCTGTTGCTCAGGACACCAGTAGTTTCTTTCTTTTTCAGGACGTTCCACATTGTTGTGCTTGCTCTGCCCAATGTTTGTCCAATGGCTCTGCTCGATTTTCCTTCTTTTCTCAGCTTGACAGTGGCTTGCTTTTCTCCCATAGACAGCACTAAAGGCATTCATGTTTCTCGTTTTTAACAGGAAATGCAGTCTTTATAGGTTTGAACCAAGGATGAAAACTTAGACTAGTCATGCAGAGCTGTTTAATGTTTGGACAATCAACCTAAAAGGCAACAAGAAACATCTGTCAGTCACATGTTCCAATAGTTTTGCTCACTTGAAAAATGGGTGGGTTCAAACAAACGGTGGTTTGTCCTGAGTTGTTTAACACATCTAGACGTGAATACCAGGAAATAAAAGCTGAAATTCTGAACTCTTTTTCTCAGACACATCTTTTGATCTTAAACCCAAATGTCTTCAGTGAGCAACAAAACAAAGGAATTTGCCTTACTGTTCCAATACTTTTGGAGGGGACTGTATATAGTTTTTTTTGTACTGGTGATGTCACTAGAGGAAAAGTCAGGGGGTCAGCAAAACATTTGGATCATCTCCCCAAACATACACAGAACATTTAAAGCGTGGTGCTGATGAGGTGGTCTTAACGAAATCACCATCCACCAATGAAACGGCATCCCTGTGGGTTATGACTGGTCAGGAGGTGGAAGCTGCCCACGAATGGGAGCAGGATGTCCACTCTGATTAGCTGATTAGTGGGTGAACGGCCTCTCTGCGGTCAACGGGGAGACGACAGACAGAGCTAACCTTTTCACATGCTGCATTGTTCAGGACTGAGGAAAAAACAAGGAGGTCCCCTGAGCTTCCCCGTCAACAGCTTTAAATTGCAGCTGCCTTACTTACACTGTGAACAACAGTCCTTTAAGTCCTTTACCTCCTCAAAGGGAGTTTTTGCTTGCCTGTGTCGCCATGTGCTTACTCATGGTGGGAGCTGTTGGGTTAGTAATTTCACAAAGAGTACGGCCTAAACCTGCTCTGTACGAAAAGTGCAATGAAATGACCTCGTTAGAAATTGCTGCTAAGTAATAAATTGAATATAAAATACCCACAGATAAATAATCCTTGATAAACCCCCGAAAACACGCTGAACTCCTTCTTCTGTTGTTTTTATTTATATAGTTTCTAATTTTTATAAACACTAATAAATTCTGCATAACAAATGATCAGATTATAAAGGTGGTGTTACAAAAGTGCTATTTAAACCTCAGCTGTATTGTTACTACACTAACCCTACTTGTCTTAGTTTCTTTTATAGAGACATGATACTTTATGATAATGTTGGAGCCCATTTGTATTAAAGTAAAAATCAAGAGATTAACTTTGATGCTCACAGACTTTGTTTCTGTTTCTCTGCCCTGCAGAAACCTGAAAGAAATACTGATGAAATGTACTTTTCATTTCATTTTCAAACATGCGTCTCTATAAACACGTGTCTAACCCAGGCATACAGTGTGATGGAGCACCGCAGGTCCTTTTGCCATAGTGATGTGCAGCCAGTCGATGTCCGCTGTAAAACATCCTGCCGAGATAATGACAGAGCCAAAACCCCCGACATCAACGCTCACTGTATGATGAGAATAAACAGCAGCCGCACGCTGCGGCATGTTTATCCATTAAGTGGAGGGTGTGTCAGTGGGAATTAGCAATAATAGTTTGTGGATATTGAGCATTTAAGTCTGGGTAAATATTGATTTATTTTGTCCCGGTGATGTGGTTTGCAGTCGCGCTGAGAGAAGACAGAAAATGGGAAAAGTACTCCAGTAACTTTGACAGAGTGTTATTCTGTCTTTGTGCTGAGCTTTGTTTTTTTTTTCCCAAAGAAACCGAATCCCTCCGCGTCAGGAATCTGGCCTGGTTTAAACAGAGAACAGTGTGAAATCTGAGCGGGCTTTTTCTGTTTCTCTCAGTAATCATCTGAATGTACTGCCAGCAGTCCTAGGTTGACAGACCACAGCAGGGACTGAGGACGGAGCACAAAGTGAAAGGGATCTCTGGTTGATGCTGTACTGAACAGGGAGAGTCTCGCTGGACGCTTGTAATCTGGATAGAAATGACTCACCCGATCAGCAGCCTCAGTGACCTGATTACAGCATTAATGCGGCGATCACCTTGGGTACAGTTTGATATCATCTGGGGTTTGTTCTCCAGACTGGGGGAAGACTTTGGCATGTCTCAGCACAGAGGAAGAGATGGAAAATGAGTGTAAAGATGAGCTCAGGCTTTGTTTTTAGAAAGTGTGTGTGTGTGAGAAGAATTTTGGCAAACGCAACGTTGCACAGATGTCCAAAAAGTTTTGAGCAGTTATGACAGATTCAGCTCTTTTTTTTTCTTTTTTTCTAACTGCAAATGAATCTGAAAGAGAGAGTTCAACATTTTGGGGAATACTCGTACTTGCTTTCTTTCTGAGAACCAGTTAGCCTAGCTTAGCATAAGGACTGAAACCGGGGTGAAGCAGGTTGTAACTGTTTAGTCTATAAGGTCAAATATATAGGTCTGCAAGATGGATAAATAATGAATTCATTAACAAGAAGTTAAACTGTAATCTATAAAATGTCAGTTCTCAAACCCCGAGATGACAATTTAAAATGTTGTGTTCAGTCCAGAACTCAAAGACACTCAATGATCTCACACAATGATATAAAACAGAGAAAAGCAGAAAATCCTCCCGCTGGAGAAGCTGGAGCCAGAGAAGGTTTGGTGAGTTTCCTCATAAATGACTTAAAGCGGTGGTTTCCAAATTCTTCGGTCATGTCCTCTCTTCGGAAGCTGAAAAGAAAATCAAACTGTGATGATATAGGGGAGCCAAATAAAGTTTTAGAAGATCTATGTATGTTTCTTTTAGAGCCTGACCGAGAACATTTAAGGATTTTAAAATCTGGCATTCCGATATATCGGCCGATAATCTTTTTTTCCCTTCTTTTGAGAAATGCATCTCTCTAATAAAGGCATGAATCTCTGCGTGTCTGTTTTTATATTTTGATAATGTCGAGAGCTGTTGCTGTGGGGAGCGCAGTGTCGCATTTGGTACGTTCAGAATGAATAAACCTTGAATAAGCTACAGTAAAGAGCGAGCTGCTCAGCTTTGACAAACAAATTTGTTGAAACTGAGTTAGACGAGTTTTATGAAGTTCTGTGGAAACGCTGAATATCTAGCAGCGTCTCCGTCATTGTCGTGTTGTTTCAGTGTTGTTCAGTGCTGTAGGTGAAACCAATGTGAGACGCACATTTTGAACAAACACGGCACTGCATCTAAAAAGTGCAGGGAGGAGCCACATTGGACCCTGTGAACGGGCATTGCACTAGTAACATAAACAAAGATTATCCCTAACATCTGTTATGTGTAGTTATGAGATAACATGACATAATGCAGTTTAAAAATAGTTATAAAAAGGACTTGAAAATGGACAAAAGTACAGCTGATTATGTCAGCTGATTGCTGTGTTTTGTGGTGCCGTTCCAAACATGTGTTGGAGAGCGCAATCTGGTGGACAAACTATGCAACAACAACACTCATAACATGACTGAAGGATCTGTATGTCTGTTTCTTTTTTAACTGTCATTTATCGGCTGTAGTGTTGTAGTACTCGAGACCGGTCTTGGTCTCGACACCGGTCTTAAGACCACTTTTTGATGTGATGGTCTTGGTCTTGTCTCGGACATTGAGGACTCAGGATTTTATTTCAAGACCATAACTTTGGGAATATCAATAAATTGCTTGTGCATCGTCTGATTTATTTGTTAACATCCAAACTTTGATTGGATGTAAAACGTACTGCAACCAACAACACTAATTAAAAATGTGTTGTTCCTGTTAACGACTGTCTCCCCTCCCCACGACGGTAATAGAATAGGAAAGGAGTGTTTGAATAAATATGGTTAAGTCGATTTCATCTCTTAGTGTTTGTATGTGGGTGTTTCAATAAGTATTTATATATTTCAGATCAGTTTGAGAAGTACCTATGAGCTCGTTACACATTTTATTGTGTGTCAGGTAATGTGGGGAACTGGTCTTGTCTCGATCAACTCTGGTCTCGGTCTTGACTTGGTCTTGGTTTGGGCGCTTTTGACTACAACACTAATCTACTGTTATAAACACAGATACGATGTATTTGGAAAGCTGATTTCTCAGTCGGGCTTTAGTTTCTTAGTTTCTCCCAATGTCTAGATTAATATTAATAAAAAAATGCACTTTAACATTGCCTATGCAGAGTTTTTACAATAGCAATGACGACTTGAGACTACGACTGACGTGTGTGTGTGTGTGTGTGTTTCTTTCCTTCTGTCTGTCCAGCATGTACTTTACCATGTGGTTTTGCTTTATGAATAAATCTGCCCTAAATGTTGGAAGTCTTGCTGGCCTCAGAGCACTTTTGTGTGTTTATTGTTCCCAAATATGACTCAGTCAACTTTAATTTTCTGCACCGTTGCCCCCACCTCAGTCATGCGGGAGTCACTGACTCCAAAATAATAGCTAATTTATTTCCCATCAAGTAAATGAGTGTCTCATCTCTACCTTGGTGCGTGGAACCAGGTACAAAACCTATGTAACCTTCTTTGTGTAATCTGCTCTGAAGCGAGTACAAAGATGGTGTCTTTGTGTTTGAGAATACTTTAGACTGGACTTTGTTTCATCCTCTACCTGTAACAACACGTCCACATTAGAGAAGCTCATTGTTGGTCTGAAATCCGACCAGGGCCTACTTCTATGCTTAAGCTGTTACTCGGTGTTCAACACCATCCTTGAGCATAATCTGTGCTTTTTAAAGTTTTTTATTTCCCAATAAAACCGGTAAGTGAATTAAACTAACAAGTGTCCTCTTGTTCTCTCCGTCTCCCTGCAGGCCAGGCTGAGGCCAAGCTGAAGGAGTTCAGTCCGTACTACAGGAAGCAGTTCTCTGTGGCTCATTTCGCTCAGGTGGAAGATGAGCTGGAGCAGCACAAAGAGAAGATCACACAGCTGCTCCAACAGAGGGTACGTGTCTGAACGTTTCACCTGGTCCCAGACCCCTGAAAAAGAGCACAGCCGCTCTTTTAAAATGAGTCTAATGAATCAGAGGGTTTGGTTACAGGTTTGCAGAAGAGGTGCACCAATAAGCAGGTGCAGGTGTGATGTTATCCAGCTGTGGGGGAGCCAGACAGAGAAGGGAAGTGTCAGGTCACCTAAATTACAAAGACAGACTCAGGGGCAGTGTTTTCCCTCACTAAAGAAAGGACTGTTAGAAAACAAGAAACCAGACATAATTATAATATATTATTCCACCTTTTGTCCCCAATATCTAATCAGGAAACACCTGTGAATGAATTTATAAAAAGGTCTAGGTTCAAAACTGGTTTGTTGTTTAAATTGTCTCATAAATGATAATTATTGTGTGTCTTAACTTCCTCATTGTTCCAGCATTAGTTCTTGAGTGCATTTTAAGATTTCACCGTTAAAACAAACTTTTAGTACTGAAGCTGTAATTATGCTCATCTGAAGATCCACGAAGACGTCTCTGCCAACCTACGCGGAGAAAGGTCTTATGGGTAACTGCAGGTCGACTCAGATAAATGTAATAAACTACACGCATTTATAAACAGGTGTCACGCGAACATAGATCAGGGTGATACAGATACATGTAATCGCAGTAAAAAATGTTATCAATAATTATCACGATAAAGTTTAAAGGCTGATTTTTGCTCCTGAGTGGAGATTAAAGAAACCAGATTAATGGTGGTTTTAAACTTTTTCTTTATGGTCAGAACAAACACTTGATACCAAACAGTGGATAACTTAATAAATCTGAGGTAGAACATCCAAAACAACTACAATAAAATCTTGTTTTCATCAAATGTGCACGAGTAACATTATGTCAAATATTTTTTTGTTTGAGGAAAATTAGATCACGATAATTATCATTATTGTGATATTGCCCAGCCCTATGGGAGCGTATCTGAGCTTTCACGTTCAGACATGTGCAGACCAGAGAAGCAGAGTTATTTCCTCTCTTTGCTCGTATCATTAATGTGCTGCTCACAGAATTGAAGAGAGACATTTAAAGAAGAAGAAGTCTCTCCATTACTCTGAAAAGGGGTTGTGTTCATAGCTCGGTTACCCTCGAAGGCGGGATGAAAAGCTATCGGGCGTGATATCGTTTGTCTATGTCTGGCCCTGCGATGGACTGGCGACCTGTCCAGGGTGTACCCCGCCTTTCGCCCAATGTCTGCTGGGATTGGCTCCAGCCCCCCGCGACCCTGTACACAGGATAAACGGTTGACAATGGATGGATGGGTTGAACCGAACCTTTAATGACCGTAATTTAATAATCATCCTAATCAGAACAGTTGCTGAGTTTATGTTGTAGTCTAGACATAGTTATCAATGTTATGTATAAATGTTAGAAAGGATTTGTAAATAGGCGAATTTAATGTGTGTTTACCAGGAGGCTCCTGAGGAGGGCAAGGTGCTGTATGAGGATGTCGTCCTTTATTTTGATGACACCAGGAAGTGGAAGGAGAGGTACGTGGTGGTGAGAGCCAACTACTGCCTGGAATGTCACGACAGCCTGGAGGTGAGCGCGACCCTGAACCCACCACCTTGTATACACTCGCATATAAATCTCTCTTTTTATTGTTGTTGTCCTCTTACCCTCTATTTTTGTTTTTCCTCTGTCTGTCTTTCATCAGACGTTTGTCAAAGGAATTCCTCCACGCCAAAAGCTGCTGCCTACAGGGGGCACCGTTCTGACCACAGAGGAGGCGTACATGGCCATGGTGGACAAGTGCTTCCCCGATGATACCAGTGAGTAGCAGACTTCATAAATCTTATCATACATTGAGCAATATTTATAGTATATAAATACTTGACTTGATAGTCTAACGTGAGCTGCAGGTGACTACAGGGGCGGGGAATAAAAACGGCGCCGTCAAGTTGGACACATTCTACCTGCGTGAGCTTACTGTGCGCTGAGATCAATGACTGATCTCGCGGCATTTCCAAAGAAAAATGCCGCGAGATCAGTCATTGATCTCAGGCAAAAGGTGGTTCCAACTTTGTGCAGCCGGACAAAAGCAACTGCTGCAGCCGCCTTGCTCCCACGTGGTTTCAATGTCATGTGGTTTCAATGCAGTCGGACACAATTTCTAACAAGCAAGCCTTATTTTAAGTCCAGCATGCATCACGTTAAGTCAGCGCTGCGCAGCGCCGCATGATGTCAAATGCACCTAATGGCAACTCTAACTGTTGGTGCTACTTTCTACTTCTACATCTCAGAGAGAAATGTTGTACTTTTTGTCAGTACATTTATTTGATACCTATAGTTCCTAAATAAAAAAACAAACTGATGTTAACATGATATGTTGCAGCACTTTACTACTAAATTGCACATATTGTTATAAAATGTTGTTTTATTCGAACACTTCTACATAAAGTACATTTTACTGATAATACTTTTTTTTTTTTTACTATTTTTCATTCAGGACTTTAACTTGAAATAAGTATTTTTAGATTCCATGCTATTTGTACTTTCTTCCACCACTGAAGACAGCACGTTACATCCATAATTAATAATAAATATGCTAATGTTAGCATGTTCACAGCCAAAATCTAAACTAATGGATATGTTTACTTGGTGTCAGACCGAACAGTCTTCTGCCCATGGTGGCCCTAAATATGATATGAAAAATTAAATAAAATTTGTGTGATGGGGACTCTTACTATCATCCACACAGGAAAATTATAATTCTGTTGTTGTGGGCTAACATGTGAAGGCTACGAGACAAGCCTTTGTCAGTCTGAGATCTACTAAATGGATGGAGGATGGATCCATTTGATTTGATTTGAACTTTCCCAAAGATGGTAGTAATGATCTCTCTGTTTAGTTTGTTGTTGTGCAATAGACATCACAGCACCACTGATGTGGCTGCGGACTTTGAAGTCCTGCTCCTGAAAAATTTATTTGCTTTTTCAGTACACAGAATGTCCCTGCAGGTATTTAATCACCCACCAATTATCAGGGTCATTTCAGCCTCTGTTTTTCAAAACAGACAGGAATCTACTGACGGTAACCTCTGCAGATGATGAACTTCACACGTAATGTTGAAATTTGGCTGTTTGCACACACAACTTGTTGTCATAAAGATATGCTTGGCGCAGCACTGAGGATTTTTCCCTTGGTGCTTAGTTTGTCACGGATTATAAAAAAGAATGAGGAAACCATAACCTCTAAACTCCTACTATTTAAATTTTTATCTAATTTATTTATTTTCTTTACAGATTAACCCGCAGAAACATGTTACCTTGTAACAAAATGCAGAATTAATGCTGCAATAAAAAGTAATCAAGTTTGTGATCACGTTAAGCTCCTTAAATATATTTCTCTAATTTCAAAAATATGTAGGTTATGGTTTTTAAAAAGAAAATGATTAGATAGTATAGAATATAGACGTATAGATTTCCAATTTCAAAAGACTCAAACTTAATCTTAATTGATACCATCTGTCATTTAAATTGAAAAAAGCAAATGCTCTGGCAGCTCTGATGCTGCACCTGATTGAAGATAATATCTCTTTTTTTTTTTTTTTTTTACATACCATCATCTGTTGTTTAAAACTTGTGTCTTAATGTAAGAGTTGAGAAACTTGAAGTGTTTCCTACTGTGATTTTGAACAATAAACTCCCACGGGTGCTCAACAAATCTAAAAGCAGCTCAGGTGGGAGTTGTGGGAGCAAGGAGCACTGAAGGGATTTGGTGAGAACATTGTTTAGGACACAGTCAAAGCAGGACTTACTGATCTTGCTGCACATTTTGTAGTTTAACTGTTTATTTAGTTAAATTCACATGACTCTGGCATGAAATCTAGTTTAAATTGTTCTACTTTGAAAACAAAACAGTTTTCAGCGCCACCTTTCAAGCTTACAGGCTTGAGTGCTTGATAACATGGGCTTTCAGTTAAATAATCCTTTAATCCTACCCGTCCCTGTGCTGAGTGTCCAGCTGTGGAACCGGTTTCCTCTGTAGTGCAGGCAGGTTTGAACAGGCAGCCGTGTGAAGCTCTCCATGAGAGACTGGGATCAGACTCCTCACTGCATGACAGAATAATACCTCCTTCAGACCAGAGCGCTGACCTGGATTAACCCAGGGCTGCAAACTTTTCAGTTTAGTTTGGAGTGAGATTCGGTATTGCTGAAGTCAGTGCATTTTATGAGTAGGCCTTCTGTGACAGAAACCATCGAAGGGTTCCTCAATCCTCAGGAATTTCGTTTAAAGCGTTCAGCAGCCAAACTCACAAGTCATTTAAAGATGAAAAGCAAAGTCAATATTCATTCATTGCCGACCAGCTTGGCAACATGGACTGGAGCAAGAGACGTCACAAGGATGAAAGGGAAGCGGCTGGACTACAAACGAGCTGTTTTCAGGCAGTTCAGAGTTTTCTGTGGAAGATGGGAACTCTCTTTGGGCTTTTTCACTTTGCAAACCTGTTACATGCACAAAAAAAGTATATAACTCAATAAAGGAGAGGGGGAAAAGCCAAAAAGTACAATACCACCTCATTAGGTGGGGTGCTGGGTGGACTTCCACAGAAGATTTAGATTTTTTTTTGCAGCAATTTATGGTTGAAATGTCTTAATTTATGTAAAAGGAAACACAAAATTCAAGCAGCAGGTTGCCAATTCACAATATATAACTAAAGTTAGTGCAGCTCTCAGTCATTCTGTGCTGCTTTCAGATCATTTTCTCCTGTAGATCAACTTTTCTCATGTAATATCATCCCTGCAGAGTCATGATTTGTGCATGTGGCTGCTTTTCACCTCTATGCCAAATGAATTAATTTTAACTCTGTTATAAACTCCTGGACTTGAATAGCTCCTGTGTTTCAGCAGGTGTTCTGCTCATGTTCAAAACTTTTTGCACATTCAGAATCTCTCTCACTCTCACTCTTCCCATTTTAAGTCTACCTGGCCCATACTCGGATGTGCATTATGTTATTTCTCTGCTGATGTGGTCGTATCCCCTTCAGACCCGCTGACAGACACAGAACCTTTTCGGACCGATAGGCTACTGGATGAGACGAGGACGTGGAAACGACCAGTGATTCACTAGAACTATAAAACAAATAACACACAGCTCTGATTCTCGATTAATAAAGCAAAGCAATAAAAGTACGTTTTACGGATTTAAAACTTTCCAGGGTGGGGGTTATTTTAAATATTCAGGTGTACACCCCAGCCATTGTACCATGACACTTGTGAGGCTCTCATGTCAACACTGTTTGCTTTCTCCGCCACCCCAACCTTTTCCCTATGTTGACGGTTTATTCCTCATGTATGTGTTTTATTAAGAGAGCTTTTCCCACCAAACCTATCTGTACAAGCATTTGCTATAAACAGCCAAGAGAGTCGTGCAGCCGAGTGGAGCCATTTGTTCTATCAGACGCTCGTACTGTTAGGCTGACCTTTAACTCAACTTGACGGAGGTCAAAGTCTCATCTGGTTTCATTATTTCCAAAGTAGAAGATTCACTGAAGCTGTAAGAATCTAATAACGTTATAAATGAAAGCTCAGAAGTCACTCATGCATCTCTTTCTTCTCAGATAGTCAGTTAAGGACAGCTGAAGGAAGAATGATGAGTGAAGTATTAATGCTTCAATGTGAGGAAAACGGACGTTTAGAACAGACGTTAAATAATAAATTCCATTTCCACACTACTGTCTTGTAACCTTCTGTATGGTAAAACCCACACAGTACCAAATAATCGACCACAGAGTCGAGGAGGTTTTGTAATGACCTGGGGCTAGGATTCAGGATTCAGCTTCAACAGCGTGTTAAGAAAACTATGGATGTGTTTGTAGACTTCTAACAGTACGTGATGTTCTCTGTTTTCAGATGTGAAGGAGGACTTTGCTCCTCCTCTGTCGGGGATGCTGGGACAGTTTCCTGTCTACCTGCGTCTGCCCTACAGGAGTGATTACTACTTCTGCTTCAGACAACAGGCCCCACAAGCTGCCTTCCTCTCCATCCTGTCCGACTGCATCAGGCACCAGAACCATGGTGAGACGCTTCGACACCTCAGAAATAGAAAAGATTCGCTACATCTAAATACAAAAATCCACAGTAGGTTTACCATCTCCTGCTATAATACTCTACATAACAAAAAACATGGGAGCAGCACTCAGAGAAAACTACAACCATGGCAGCTGCCTTTTTCTGTTTTAAGGCTGGTGTTTGACATGTTGGGAAACTAGTGTTAATAATCGGGGTTCCAGCTGCTCAAATGTGAAGATTTTCTGGTTTTCTGACACTTTATATTATAGAAACTTTTTTGGTTTTGGACTGTTGGTTGGTTACAACAGGATTGAAAGTAAACATTAAGCTATTATCTGACTAAATAAGTAATCGATTTAACCAGAAAAAACTAGGTAGATTAAGCAATAATGAAAAGAATTGTCATGCGTGTTGCACACAAGATTTTCAGATCTTCACAGATTTAAAAAACGTGGGATAACACGGACATAATGACAGAAAGTGTATGTTAATCTCAACCAGACGGTTCAGTCCAGACGCAGGACCACACCCTCGGCGTTTCTAGGCCACTCAGCGGTTTCAGAGGGGACTTAGGATCTCACAGATTCTCTCGTGATGAAACGTGACTTCAGACAGAAGCAAACATGGAGGCTGGTTGACCTTGTGTGTGCTGTGTTTTGCACAGAAAAACAAAAAGAAGAGAATCAAACTGTGGATTACACGTTTTTATAGAACAGAGATGCACAACACGCTGGGGAACACTTCCTGGTCCACTCGCTGACATTGGGTGTTTGTGGGTTTCTGATCAGAGGCTCAAATCTTAATGCTGGCCCCACACTAGATTATCTGCTCAAATGATCCTGTTATTTAAAAAATAAAAATCAGTTAATTCTGTCATTACGTCTGTGAAATGTTTTTAAAATCTGTTAAGATTCGAAAATCCTCACAAATAATAGAGCCTCCACTCCGGTCGGCGACTTTAACAATCGGTCTGTAGACCCCCTCACACTGCAGGACCATTTGGGTCGGCCTCTGCTCGGGAACGCCCCAGCGATGAATCAGACCGGCCTCCAGTGTGCGGACAGCATTAGTTTCAGCCCTAACAGGGAATAATATGGTCCTACCTACAGTATCCTATAGATCAGAAATGAACATTCAAAGTTCAGTAGATAGTAACACGTATCATTAGTGACTCTAATTGTGTCCCATGTTGCAGTCATGATTAGAGTAAAAGTAACAGCGCTGGGATCAGCAGCTGTCTTCAATCAATGAGACTGCGAACCTTAATAAAGCCTACTGGGAACGAGTGTTCGATACTCGCAACAACAGGCTTTGTTTATGTGGTATCTCTAAAGAAAACCCACCACAGTTGCCATGGCAACAGTTCTCACCACACCAGCCGCGAGGGGCGGAGAGGGTCGTTTCATCATGTTGATGCGAAGCGCCGTGCTGAAGGAGAAACCTCTGCTCTTTGCAGACGGGCGAGTTGATGAAGCGTTGCATTTAATGTCCCGTTGCAGCGCTTCATCACAGTGAACACACACACACACACACACACACACACACACGACTCACTATGATGGATACATAATGGACTAAATCTTTTTTAACCGGTCTGTGTGTTTGTTTTGTTGTCTGTTCCCTCTCTGTCAGACTTCCTGAAGAAGAAGACATGTGAAGTGCAGGCCTTCCTCAAAGCCATCCAGCTCTACAGAGAGGACCAAGGCAAATACGAGGTCTGGGACATGCTGATAGGAAGTGATGTCAGGGTACGTACCAAACTCATTTGTTGTGTGTTTAGGTCGTATTTAAATCCGCCTGCTGGCTCTCTGGGGCCTCGGAACAGAGATCCGAAGTGGGGACTTGTAGCTGGAGGTGCCAGGTCACCTCCTGGGCGAAGGTGGACCTGAAGAAGCCCCTGAACCCCCAACCGCTCGGGGCACCGCAGTACGTGGCAGCCCCCTCGCTCAGACATCCCTACATGTGTTGTTGCATGTGTGTGTATTTCAGTGTGTTTATACTAATGGCAAGGCAAGTTTATTTGTATAGCACATTTCAACAAAAAGGTAATTCTAAGTACTTTACATAAAACATAAAAGCAACAGGGAAATATAAAGTTAGAAAGAAAATAAAAACAGGCAGGTCTCCCACCTTTGCTCATTTTATTCCTTTGATTCCCCATATCCCACTCTAACCCTTCTTTAGATACAGTCGCCACTGTAAATCCAGATTGTCTACAAACTCTGGTAAAAGCGGTTGACAGTAGGACCCTGTCGACAAGTTACTTAGGGACTCCAGGGGGTCCAGAAACCAGTCAGTATCTGGTGTGACCACCATTTGCCTCACGCAGTGCAACACATCTCCTTCACATAGAGTTGATCAGGTTGTTGATTGTGGCCTGTGGAGTGTTGGTCCACTCCTCTTCGACAGCTGTGCGAAGTTGCAGTCAGGTCGAGACCCCGATGAGGACGTTGAGCATGCAGATGAGCTTCCCTGAGAAGGTTCCTGACAGTTTGTGCAGAAATTCTTTGGTTATGCAAACAAACAGATTGTTGCAGCAGCTGTCCGGGTGGCTGGTCTCAGCCCATCTTGGAGGTGAAGATGCTGGATGTGGAGGTCCTGGGCTGGTGTGGTTACAAGTGGTCTGCGGTCGTGAGGCCGGTTGGATGTTCTGACAAATTCTCTGAAACGCCTTTGGAGGCGGCTTATGGTAGAGAAATAAACATTCAATTCACAGACAACAGCTCTGGTGGACATTCCTGCAGTCAGCATGCCAATGCCTGGCATTGTGCTGTGTGATGGAACTGCACATTTGGATTGGCCTTTTATTGTGGCCAGCCTAAGGCCTTTTATTGTGGCCAGCATAAGGCACACCTGTGCAATACCCATGCTGTCTGATCAGTATCTTGATATGCTAAACCTGTGAGGTGGATGGATTATTTCGGCAAAGTTGAAGTGCTCACTAACACAGATTTTGACAGATTTGTGAACAATATTTGAGAGAAATAGGCCTTTTGTGTTCACAGAGAAAGTCTTAGATCTTTGAGATCAGCTCATGACGAATGGGGGCAAAAACAAAAGTGTTTATAATTTTGTTCAGTCCATGTTTGATATTTTGAGGAAGGGAATAGTTTAACATTTTGTGAAGTATGATCATTTGCTTTCTTTCCAATTAAGATGAAATATCGATCTCATGTCTGTGTGTTTACAGATAGTTTGTGGCTACATGTTTTTGTTCTGTGATTAAAAATAATGCATATACTGTAGATATTTTTATATTTGTGCATACACAGGAGTCTACTAGTGAACCTAAACAGTTAATCTGGCTGCTGATTTCCAGCAAAGCTATTTTTATTTCTGTGTCTTTAAAGCTGAAAGCCTTTCAACCTCAGTGTGATTTGCTTACGTTCAAATCTACTGCATGATGCTGGCGTTCAGAGACACAACAACAGAGAAGCTTCCACTGTCTTGTTTACAGACCGCAGTGTATTTGCATGATGGAGTGATGCAGGGCGTGTACGAATAAGGCTCATTTGCATCCTCTCGCTGTTTGCTATAAGCTTCGGCTTCCAGCAGCAAAGACATGAGCACGTTGGCTGAGAAAACATGGGAGGACAGCTTTTGTTCACTCTGTTTGTCTTTCTTCCTTCGTTGCGTTCCTCTCTGCTCTGCTGCCGTGCTTCCTGCTGTTTTCCTCTCTGTTCCCTTTAAAGCGGAGCAGGAATCCTCCCACGTAACGACACTGTAAATGCTCCATTGTGTTGTTGTCCGCTCGCATTGTTTGTTCAAAACTAGTTGGGAGGTGAAAGGAAGTTTGACTTGCTGCAGGAAGACACACACACTTAAAGTCAATTTGTTTTAGCAATAAGTAAGACATTTCCTGTTTTAAGTAAGCGGGTTATACACATACAGTAAAAATACATACCAAAGTACACATGTTTGCACTCACTCACCGGCATTTTTCATTTTTTTTTCTTGCACATAGCTCTCGTCTGACGTGCACACACACACGTCAGAGCTGAAAAATGAAAAGAATGAATGACGCAATGGCTGCAGAAACGACCACAGCTGTAAGATTATAAATCAGTCAAGGTGTCAGGACTTGACAGTTCCAAACAATCCTCTTTGTTTTTAAAGGTACTATTGTACAAATTATACTTTTGATTATGTGACTTGTTACCTGGAAACACCTGTGGTAGTTTGTTTAATAACCATGAATCAGGACATCATGAAACATGAGGGAGGATGAATTTCAGTATTATAATATGGTAATTAGCAAGTATTAGGTTGATAGTAGCTCATTATTATCAGGTTATTACCCCATTAATGGCACCATAGTAGAATTTTCAATTCAAAGACACCCTTTTGTTAAGTTACCATATTGTTACCAAAATATTACTGTAGTAATAGTTTTGCTTTGTTGTTATCTTTGAATATGTTCCACCATTTTTACCCTGTTGGGTACATTTCAATATATTATTACCCAGATAAATCCGTTAATACCAAGCTATTACCTGGTTATTACACGGTATTAACTTATCAAACAATTTTCCCACTATTACGTATTTACCGAGCTGTAATGTTACTAGAAGGTCTTATTTTTTACTGTAAACTTTGCACTTTTTGTAAAGAGGCCCTCTTTAAACAAAGTTGATAGGGGGTGCCGTTTATCTCAGATGGCAGAGTGCGAGGCCCTTGTACTAACACTCAGTCCTTGTTGCAGTGGCCCGGTTTCAGTACTATAAAAAAACAATCATACTGTTCATTTTATTAATCAAATATGGTATCTGTTACCATGTGCAGCCATATGCTCAGAATATGACATCCAGGAGTCGAGGCCTAAGTCTGTGTGTGCATTCTCATAGTGGATTTTCACACTCAATACATTTTATTTTCTCTCTCTGAACTGCTGCTGAAAGAAGAGAGGTTGGTACACGTTTCCCATCACCGTATTTGATGCCGATCCAGCTCTTAGATTTTTGTAGATCTTTCTAGTTTGAATTATTTGACCATAGTTGGATTACCCAACTGGGCAAATTCAGGATTTCAGCTATTTGAAATGTTTAAACTCCGTCTCATTGAGGAGCCTCGAGTCAAAATCCAGTTGGAATTCCTTTTGGATATTTCGGTTACATTAGTAATTAGAGGTGTTACGAGACACGATAGAGATGAGAAGAGAACACTATTTTGAAAAAATCTTTAATACTGACTTATGTAAATATTTTGAGTATTTAACACATTTTCTGCACCAGTTTATGATGATTTTATTTATATAAAGAAAAACAAAATTCAGGTGGCAGGTGACCATTCAAACTCTTTAGCCTAACCATACCAGAATCTAAGTGAGTGCAGCTCTCAGTCATTGTGTTGCTTTCAGATCTGTTTATCCTGCAGATCAACTTTTGTCATGTAATCCCTGCTGAGTCATGATTTAGTCAACTCAATAATTATTAATTTACTTATAAACTCCTGGACTTTAATAGCTCCTGTGTTTCTGCAGCTTTTCTGCACATGTTCAAAACTTCCTGCACATCTAAAAACGCTACCTTAACACTCGTAACAGCTGCCTGAAGTGACAGCGCGAGCGGTTTACGGCGGTGTCAATCAGCCGGGTGGAGTTGATTCCCTCCGAGTCTCTTATCAGTTATACCACTTTTGAGAAAATTTGTGTGGCTTGACAGCGTGTGAAAAATGTCTAGGAACCTAAATGTTTGCTTGATATTTTAAAGTATAGCCTGACCAATAATGGATATTTGACACCAATACTTATATGTATATAATGGATCCTTAGATTAAGTGGGACATTTTACAGTGTGAAAATAAACCTGTCAGTGCTCTGTGGTGGACAAACTCTAATTGAGACACTGTTTGTAAATGTAGTCAAACCTAGCGAGGCATTTCTGTGCTGCAGTGTATTGTTTTATTTATATATTAAAATATGCAATAAGCTAAATCTGAGCCGACCACAACTACTTCTCACCCCAAGCCCCTCCAGTGGATTGATCTGGCTCTGGTATTTGACTCAAACAAAACAAGAAATCTGACATCATTGTGGTATCCTGATATATTTAAGACCGTTTAAAGGCTGAGTGATCCCTTGAAATATTTATTATAATCTTTAGTCCTGCTTGTGTGTCTTGTAGGTGATGGCCAACCTGGTGATGGAGCAGCTGCTGCCGACTCTTGAGGTTGACTTGCTGCCTCGTCTCAAAGCCAAGAAGACGGAGAAGAAGAGAGTTTGGTTTGCTGTAAGTCGAGCTGTTAATTTCATCTGCCACATCCACGACTGATGCCGCAGTTTCCCTGCAGCGTCAACTCAATGAAAATTTGCAAAGTGGCCTATGAGGAGCGATTTAAAACCCATGTAAATGTACGTTTCAGCATTACATTTGATAGAGTCTGACAGGCTCACAGATGTAACCTAGCTAAATCTGAATCAATATATTATGCATTCATGCTCGGGGCCATTCCCAGTATTATTCTGCAGCTCTGCTGAAGCTATAAAACGCTTAATTCTTTATGTGGAGCGACTTCATTTTAGTTAAGCAGTGAGCAATTGATCTTGTTTTTGATGAATTTACTGATGGTACGCAGACGGTGGAGGCGGCGTACATCCTGGTCCAGGAGGAACTGTTGGAGGGACTTGCAGCACTAAAGGAGGAATGTCAGACCTCGGTCCAGCAGCAGAAAGTGCTTATTCACTCCGACATGAACCCGATCCTCAACTCCAGACGGCAGCTGGAGGAAAAAGTCCGAGGTAACTTTTCTTATTCTTCGCCTTGTCGCTCGGCACATTCAGACGCCGACAGATCCTCACTGCTGTCAAACACAGGACGAGCTGCATTCCTCTGTCACAATCATCATTGAAACTGGCTGTGTGGGTGGATGGAGTTGAAAAGCAGCAGAAGGGTAACGGAGGGTGACTCATGCAGTGAAAGAGCTGCAGTGACCTCCTCTGTTCAGGCAGCAGGGGTTCAGGGCTGATTTCTGAGAAGAAACTTTTTATTTCTTTCTCCAGCCAAAGTATCGGAGCCAGCAGAGAAGCTGTGCTCCGAGTCCGTCCAGCCGTACCTGGGCTCAGTCCTGGAGGAACTCATGCAGCCCATCAGCTCTGGTTTCCAGGAGGGACGGCAGCTGAGTGAAAACATGATGGACCAGGTGTGTCAGGACATCCTCGGAGACAACGAGAAACTGAAAAAGGTTTGTTGATTATAAATGTCCTCAGTTATTGAAGACTCCTCTCCACCAATACCATACAATATACTACAGAGCTCGGTACAAAATAGTATTGTAAACTACACCGTTATTGTACAGTTCAATTGTTGTACTTAGCTGTCTAAAATTAAAAAAATTCACGATTCAGATTGGTGTCAGACTTTTGTCTCAGCCCTTTGACTTACTGACACAAAATATTAACACTTTATAAGGAGAGATTTGACCGTGTTTGGCTGTGCAGCAGGTGTCATGAGGAAAATGCCTTTGCCCTAATCACTAGTCGAATTTGTGCTTTTGAATTCATACATTTCGTCATCAGAGTCCAAAGTTAAACTCCTGTGTTTATGTTCTAACACAGGAATCAAAGATAAAACAACTTTAACATACAAAAATCTGAAGTATATCCACATCTCCGTCCAAAAACAATTTAAAGCTGAAATGATTGATTAGTTGATCAACAGAAAAAGAAAACTGTATTAGAGATGGACTGATTAATCTGGCCAATCATTGTCTTCTCTAAATGTTGACGCCTTTTACCTAAATGAGAGCAGCTCTAACAGCATCACACACACATACAGTTATACTGTGTAGAGAATAACAGTATGTTTCCGTTTCATTCAGTAATAAAGCTTCCATTTGAAACAACACTAAACACGACTAAATAACATGTATATTAGATTGTACTGAATTATACTTTTCTTTGTTTTGACACTGGCTGCTCTGTATTGGTCTTTCAGACAAAACAAGCTGTGTGAAGACGTCACATTTGGCTTTAGGAAATTATAATGAACATTTTTCATGATTTGTATCGACATATAATTCAATAGTGAAAGTAATTATTAGTTGCAGCCCTACAAAACTGTATGAATCCAATCGGCTCACTTAGATCACAGTGCACATTTATTTTGCTAAAACAACATCCAGTGTTGCATCACAACTGTAAACAAAAGACTGAGGGAGAAACAGATTGTGTCAACATCTTAATTCAGTATTTGTAGTTGCCTCAGCTGCTACCTCTCTGGGGCTCCGCCCTAAATGACTGAAGTAAACAACTCAGCAACCTGTAATTTCCTACTGTCATGTATATAACATGATACCAATAATTATTTTAGGCACCTATTTGTTTGTACAGCTGTATCAGGGAATCTTCTCCTCCTATCTCTCAGGCTCTTGCTCACATGGCGAGGCCGAACCTGCTGAGCTGCTACCAGAAGATCGGCTCCCTGCAGGAGAGGCTGCAGGACCTGCAGGAGAGATTTGGTTTCTCAAACATCACAGACGTGATCCACAGCGCTCAGATCGACCTGCAGCAGGTACAGCTGCTCGCTCTCTCTCTCTCCCAACACACACACTCATTTTATTCATTCACATTTTCCTCCTTCAGCCAGACAGCTCAGCTCTCATGTTTCTGCTCAGACAGAGTGGGCGGACTGATTCATTTTATTATCCATTTATTTATGACACTCTTGTGATTGTAATCTTTCAATACACCGACTCAGCGTTTCAGTGTTCACGATGAATCAGCTGTGGGCTGCTGCCATTTCACACTGATGGCATGTCCAGCTGTTGGCATCATGCTTTTTTTTTTTACTGCTCTGTTAATTGGGGCATTAAACATCTGTCTGATCTGATCTCATGCTGTGTGTGTTTGTTTCAGCTGATTGAGAATGCAGCTTACACGTTCGAGCAGCTGCTCTACAAAGCTGTCCAGGACAACCCAGAAAACGCCAGCTCGGCCATCGAAAAGGCCAAACACAGAGTGCTCAAGGTCAGACCGCCATCTGGAACGCAACAACACAAAAACCTTGTTGATGCTGGAAGATTCATGTTAAATTTAAGTAACTGAAAAACCCTCAAGTGCCAAAAATTTAGACTTCAATAAAAGATCAATCGTGTTTTATAAAAACTTTAAAAAAAAAAGAAAAGAATCTCATTTCCTCAGAATAATAATAATCTTTAATTATGGAGAACTTTTCAAAAACCTCATTACAAAGTGCTTTCACAACTGCAAAGACAATAAAACATGCATGAAACAGATAAGATACAGGATGAAAGCAAGAAAACGATTAAAATCCAGTTTTTTTTAGAAAATCAACTAAAATCAGGAACATCTGTTTTAAGAAGGGACTTAAAAGACTTCACTGACTCAGCCGACCTGATTTCCTCGGGCAGGCTTTTCCAGAGCCTCGGGGCCCGACTGCAACCGGTCCCTTTTTAGTTTTCAGTCGAGACTCTGGAAAAGACAACAGACCTCTGCCCGAGGATCTAAAGTTCCGAGCCGGTGCGTACGGGACTAAAAGGTCAAAGATATAACCGGGCGAGAGACCATGAAGAGCTTTAACGTGATGGAGCCAGTGTAATGAAGCTATTGCCTTTTTTTCATGATTATAATACTCTAAAATGTATGCAAGAAATATTAAATAAATATATCGAAATACAACATAATACAATAACATTTCTCACATTATTTCAGCATAAATAAGAGGATGTTTCTCATAAATTATTAGAAACAAAGTTATTATTTAAATATGAGAAACTTTCTCATAATAGTGCAACACATTTATCATTATGAGACACTGACTTATTATGAGAAACAATCTCATTCTGAAAATATAATGTAAGAGTTTCTCAGAATGGCTGATCATTTCATAAATGGTCATAATTATGAAACACTATCTGATAAATTTACCTGGCATCAATCAGCAACACAGCTACGAGAAACTTCACCAGAATTATGAGATAATGAAAGTTCCTAACGTAAGATGATGGACATCTATAACCACGATTTATGTGACATAACTATGTCACATAAAGCCGTACAATAATAATACATTTTATTTGTAATGCACTTTCACTTAAGATCAGAAAAGCAAGATAAAAACATCAATATAAATAGATAATGCAACACCTTGCAGGGTTAATTAAAACTCATACGTTCTGCTAAATGGAAATGTTTTTAGTCCTCAGATACTGTAATACCTTTAGTACTTTACAGTATGTATTTTTATAGACTTATTAAAGACACTTAGTGTGGTAACAGGTGAAGCAGGGATGTAAATCATGATAATGGACAAAAGAAAAACTACACCCACGTCAGACTGACCTCCACAGTCCTGTCTCCTCTGTGTGTCCTGCAGCAATATGACTATGACAGCAGCACCGTGAGAAAGAGGATCTCCCAGGAGGCTCTAGTGTCCATCACTCTGCCCTTCATCAAGAAGAACTTGGCCCCGACCTGCAAAACTGTGAGTCGCACACACAGAGACTAAACAATACATACTGTGCAAAGCCACCAGACTCCATTGACAAACAGTAATTTTACCTCTCAGAACACAGGAGCTGCTGATCTAGCGCTGCCTTGGTGGGTTGGTTTGCTTTTGTTATTGTGTGCTTTTGGTGTTTTACAGGGTTAAAAACACCAAAGTCACACAATAACACAAACTAACCAATCGAGGCAAAGGTTGACCAGAGAGGTAAAATTACTTTTTGTCAAGGAAGTCTGGTGGCTTTGCAGAGAGCGATATAATGACTGTTTCTGGTTAAACAAAAAGGATCTTACTCTTTAGAAATAGCTCTGTAGCCCTGCTACAGTGTTATCAGACACTTGTAATAAAGATCTGAGCCTGTCAGAGGCAAAAACAAACACGCACATCAAACGATAACCCGATGTTTCTCTCTGCACAGGAGCTTCAGAGTCTTCAACAGTTCATCTATGCCGAACACTCCAACTTCATCCACGTTGACAATGTTTATGAGAGCGTCCTCCTGCAAACTCTGGACAAGGAGGTCACCAAAGGTATCACAAAGTTACACCGATGATGACAAATCAACAACACACATTCTCCCTCGCAGGGACGGAGAGACATATCTAATCTTTCCTGTTTTCTCCTCGTCCTGCAGTGGTGAAGGAGGCGGCGAGTCTTAAGAAGTACAACCTGTTCACAGACAGCAGAGACCTGCTCAGTCAGTCCAGCCGCTCCAGCCTCTCCTCCCCGTCCGTCTCCACTCCGAGCAGCCCCGCCATGGCGCTTGCCTCACCTGCGAAAACCTCCTATGAGCACCAGCCCCCGTCTCCTCTTACAGTCAACGGTATGTCGTCCAGCCCCCAGAAGGAAGAGCAGCACGAAGCGGACGTGTTCGTTACAGAGACATGTCCGGGGAAGGCTGAACAAATAGAAGAAGCTCAGAGTGTCGCTGTCGATCAGGAGGTACTGGCGCCGGAAGCAGAAGATGTTGTGCAAACTGTGAAAGCAGAAGCAAGCACCATTGTCACCCCTGAGACCTCAGCTTTAGCAGCTACAACCAACCAGAGCGAGACACAAAGCAAGAGACAGGAAGTTCCTGAGACTTTGATCCAAGAGGAAGTGATTTCTGTCAAAACGGAGAAAGTTAAGACGGCTGCTGAACCTCAGAGCACAGACGCGCCAAAAGAAGCAGAAATCCCCACAGTTGTAGAAAATACTAAGACAGCTGCAGAGGCAGAAGCTCCTGCGCGAAGTCCTGACCCTACAAATGAACCAGTAAACACGTCAGGTGAGGGTGCTGGTGATCAAACTGTAGCCAGCGGTGAAGTCAAGACACACTGTGGAAGCTCAGAAATCAAGTTAGAGGCTCCCTCTAGTGGTCAAACACCCGTACTCACAGCTGCAGATGTCAGCCTGGACATAAAGCCAGACGAAGCAGAACCAGTCACTGTCTCAGACCCTAATTCCCTGGATGTGTCAGTAGGAAGTGAGTCAGCTCCGTCAGATTTGGAGTCCGAGGAGGAAGCCAGAGTAACAGAGAGCAGCAAGGACGAAGTCTGGACGAGCCCCGACGCCTTGGAGGAGCAGGGTGATCTCAGTACATCACCTGCGAGCTCAGACGATCCCGCTGTGGACAAAACCGTCAGCGAGGAGCCGTCTCCTCAGGTCCAGACAGAAGCTGTGAGCGGCGGCGTCAGAGTAGGAGTGGAGGCGTCGGTGGAGGCCGCCAAAGAGGACACCCCTTCCAGCCCTGAAGCCCGGCCCCTGGACAGCATCAAGGAGATCCGTGACCTGGTGGTGGAAGTGTTCGAGGTGGAGGAGCTGGTGCAGCATTACCCAACGGGATATCTAAAAGAGGAGTGAGGCGTCATGACCAATCAACAGCAGCATTCCTGTTCTTTCTGCAAGATGAGGGACAAAATAACTAAGATGTTCTGCTGAAAGGGAACCGAATCATCACCAGAAGATAACGGTAGCTTCCATTTCTGACTAAACTGCACTGCCTCGTCTGTCGTGGTGTTAAAACAAGGATGCTTTTTCCTCAGAGCTGAAACCGAAAAAGACTCCTGAGAAACATTCACGCTCCCACAAATGTTTTTTTTAAAAGCACATATGCATGAATTTATGGTAAATTATTAATACAAGTCATTTACACAAATCAATATATTATCTGTGTTAGGTGTATACAACCAACAGGTTCGTTTCATTCAGTGACTGACAGGAAATTATTGCACTCCAATTATTTTAGTACCAAATTGTTTTAGAAAATCTAGATATAGAAATATTTTTTATAAGAAATGCTGTGGTCGATTTAAATCTATTTAGAAGAATCTATTTTTTGGAAAATGCTTTAGACGCTTTATTTCTGAGAGTGTATCTGGTCTCGGTTAGCCTAACTTAGCATAATACCTGGACGCAGGGGGAAACAGCCTGACTCTTTCCAAAGTTCAGAACTCCTCCTACCAACACCTTTTAAAGCTCACTAATTAATAATAAATAATATTTGGTTTGAAAAGGGAATTGGTGGAAGAAGGATTAAGGAAGTAGCACAACGACAGCATAAAATACTCCATTATTAAGTTCCTGCTTTAAAAAAAGTTATTTTGTAAAAGTAAACAAGTGTGAGTCCGATGTACATAAAGTATGAAAAGTAATCACGCAAAATAGCTCAGATATATTTTACTGGAGTATTATTACTGATGCATTAACATCCGTATAAGCAGCATTTTAATGTTCTCAGGGTGGAACGTGTTTTTACGATGCCACCAGCACACCACACTTCTCCCAATCTACTGCCATGCATCATATTTTATAAACCGATCACATGTTTTACTCGTAAAATCCTAATCTGGAAAGAGTCACCAAAGCAAATTCCTTGTATGTGTAAAAACTACTTGGCTATAAAACTGCTTCTGATAAATGTAGTGGAGAAGTAGCAGAGAATTGAAATACTAGTAGAAGTACGAGTAGCTCAACATTACACTTGAGTACAGAAAATGTTCTTACTTTCCACCATGTTGTTACAGACACCCGTTGTAAATCTGTAATTAGTTCCAGCAGGTACAGCATCTCCTCCCTACGGCTCTGTTTGTGTACAGATGAAACAAACAAAGGTAGATAATGTTAACCAGTGAGCTTCAGATGTGTTGGTAGGTGGAGGACGGAACCAGGCCAGCTCTGAGATCGAGTCCCATCTGAACGTCTCACTCTTAGACACAAAGCAAATAAGCGTCTTTGCCAAAAATATCAAACTGTTGTTCCAAACAGGCTACACGAGTTTTAGATTGTTAAAGCATTATAAACACCTACTTTAATATATCAGACCACACGAGCTTGATTAATACCACTTCCACTTTCCAGCTGTAGTTTAGGGACATTTCTTTCTCATTAATGTGATTTATTTTTTATCTACTGAAGGATTAACAAAAACAAACTGAAGAAGTGCCTTTGCAGTACCTCCATGTTGCCTTAGATCACATGATGATGGAAACGAGCCTCTTTCACGTGGATAATGTTGCTGCCCGAGGCGGATCACCAGTGCTCGAGCATCACCTGCGCGAAATGCCTTTTACCTGTGTAGAGCATCTCATGCAGACACGGTTAGAAAGTTTACAGTGTGAGTACAGGGAGGAACGTTTGACCAGAAACTGTCTACCAGATGAACGCCGGCTGATGGAGACGCCGTGTGGAAATATTAATAAAACAAACATACCCTCAAACTATTTCTGTGAACTCTCCACGCTCTGGTCTGAATGTTGGTGAAACAACACAAATAATAAAAGCTTTTGTTTGCCAATAAAACAAATACAGCATGATGCTTTGGTTATTTATTTATGATCCACAACATATTTTTTTTTTTTTTACCCACAGACACACTGTACTGAGAAATATCAAAAACCTGCAAGTAATCCAACATCTGCGAGAGATTAAAGACTAAATACAGTTTGACTACAATAATATTCCTTCCATGTATTCGACCTATTGCACCACAGACAAAGTAGCTCACATTTCAGCAGGCAAGAAGTGATCCAGGCACATCGAGGACAAAAAAAAAAAAGATGCAGCAGATTCTTTAACATTTGTTCACATCAAAAACACATTTTCAAGCTAACTCAGTAGTTAACATTTCTTCTTAAATTACATTCACAGAAATAAAAAGATCATCGAGAACAACATTTTAATTCAGGGTGAGTTGGAGTTCACACAGTCTAACGCTACCAGTGACAGCGTGTGAGGAAAATAATGGTCGCTCTTTATTTTATGGTTCATCATCTGCTTATAATTATGTGGAAAGTTTCCTGGAAAACAAAAAGTGTAATTCTGTTCTAATTATAGGGAATTATCATTAAATAACTCGAGTTTAGCTAGTTGTGTGGAGTTTGTAGATTTCCAGATTAATTTCCTCGAAAGAAAAGATCAATTTAAGCTAATTATTAATTTATTACTGGAAGCCGTTTTCTTCATTTATGCACATTCAGCTGACCGGACCTTCTGACTACAAGACTCTGCAAGTTATACTAGCATTAATTAAATCAACGTGTACAAATTGAACACTGTCTACAGTATTTTTCCCTGTAATTCCATAGTTACTAGTTATTTCCAGCAAACATCTTAGGAAATACTAAGAAAACACACGTAACACAAAGCATTGCCAAAATGTATAGTTATCTAATGCGCCTACATGGTGCATAATACATAATTCAGTGGTTTCTAACCTGTGGGTATGAATCTGAGACGTCCTTCAGATCGAAACAGCGATGAGGGGCCACATGCAAAATAAGTTGGGAACTAATTACAACTACTGAACTACCACAGGCTGGTTCAGAGAAGAATTATAAAATGTTATCTCTGATACAGATAGGTCTGGTGATATTCTATAGTTTACCTCTTGTAAATAAATCTCGTGTGCAGATTTAAACCAACAGTGAACGTATCTCCTAACGAGTCCTGTGTGTGTCTTACAGCCTGATGTCTGTTCTCCCTCTGAGCCATAAAAAAACTATTAAATCCATCAGTGAGCACTCGCTGTCACATGTTCCTTTATCACCATGAACACACATAAATGTAGTTTATTCTAACTCAGTCCCACACACACCTTCCTGCTGCGCCGAATACTCTCTAGAGCACCACATATGGATTCATCCCCAACAAATGCACTATTTCCTTCTGTTTGTTTGATAGAAACTAGAGCAAGCTGCTGTTTAAAGAAAGTTGCTGACCCTTTTTAAACATGAAACTATATTCGTGAGGTGTTTTTTTTTTTTTACGTCTTCAGCAGTAACCAGTGACGCAGTAGCACACTGGTGGTTTGGCTCTGCACACGAGATTTGTTGACTTCAACAAAAACATAGGATAACATCAGACTTATCTTTCAAAACACACTCATTCGTTCTGCTGTATTCTTTTGCCCAGGATGATGTTTGTGACTCGTAACATTCAGGCAGACTCTGATTAACTAGAAACATTCGCTTGTGTCAAACGGGACAGTAAAATCAGAATATAGGAAAACGGCTGCCTAGTTTATAATGAAACACAAAAATATTATGTTCTTGACCAAAGTCTACATTAAAATTTGTCTGACCTCAATATTTATTGGATCATAAGGCTTAAGGAGTTTGAAGGAGTACATAAAAGTCTGTATTAATGAGTCATGTACTTTCATTATTGAAGGAAAAATCTTTTTTTATTTAAACTTTCATTTGGGTCCACTTGTTCCCTGCAGGAATTTCCCCTGAATGAGAGTCAGTATTTTCAAATAAGCCATTATTTTTGGTGCTTTATCATCAAGAAAAACATGTTTTTTCCTTCCGATTGTTCGACTCAATAACGGACTGACTGATGGTTAAGATGATTTGCAGTGAGGAGAGATGCATAAAGAATCTGCACGCAGCTTTGACAGTGCACGGTGGATATCAGGGACACGTCTGCAACGTGTGTGCAACAGAGTTTGTTCAGTATTTATGTGCAAGACAGTGCGTAAGATGTTCCAGGTTTACCGGGAGGCAGTGTTGAAGAATAAGTGTTCATCGGGGCGGAAGCCGTAGGCGCTGACCGGTCGATCTGTTGCTGGGAAGAACTGCTCCGACACACTGACGGGACGAAAGGAAGAAGAGATGGGAAAATAAATACAATCTGACACAGCAAGACAAAATTACATGCACGTGGAGGAGGAACACAAATCCTCTAATTGTTTTGGGATGCTTCAACTGGCTGGAATGATGGTGGTCGGCCACATAATGGGGCTATTGCAAGGAAAGAGTTCAGGGTCATAATTCAGGGACATACTTCGTTACATATAACACCACACCACCAGGTGGCGCTCTGACACCAGACATGTCTCCCCACAAACTCCCCACCCCAGGGCTCGAGCACTCGCTCAGTCACAGTACCAGATGAAAATAAATTAAAAAATAACCTCGTAAAAAGTTAATGTAATATTCATCTGCCCTGATGCAGGTGTTGGACGTCCACAATGAGTGTGTGAGTTACTGCTCATGGCTGGAGGGGTAAACAGCAGAGCGTACAAAGTCATAAAAACCGGAGAGATGTCAAAACACAGCGCCGTGACGAGGGCGGAGGCTGACGGCCAAACCTGGAGGACCTGGCTGCCCTGCGCCCGGGAACAGGGGCCTGTTGGGGGGGGGGGGGGGATGATAAAAGGCCTGTATCTACACCGTATAAATCAGTTACTATGGGTATGTGGATACAGAGGGTGGGGGCCGATTTCACGCTCCATCTTCTGACCAGCTGCTGGGAGTTTGCGTCTGGCGGTGGGGTCAGTGTGACGGGCCCAGCCGCCTCGTCAGGACGGAGCGGTTGATGGATAAACTGGGGCTGTGATGGATGACACCACATCTCACACGTATCGCATCTTTCTCTTTGCTGCACGGCCCCGCTGTCCTCTCACGGCCCTTCTAAAATACGAGCTGTTTGCTTTGCCCCCTGCAAGCGCCTATAATGACGTGTTGTTTTTAGCCAAGTCACTTCCAGCGATCATTTACACAGCTTGCACCATATCCCCACGTCTCCTCCTCCTCTGTTTTGCCCCCCCCTAACTCCTCTCCCTCCCCCCTGGGCAGAAATATGTCTTTTTCCTCTCCGCACGCTACGGCTGTCAGGGGGGATTTGAGAGCCAGGCTAAAAGGAGGCTGGAGGAACACTGGAGCTCTGAGTCACACCATCCGCCTGCACGCTGGCCTGTTCCTGGGGCTGACTGACTCGTTACAACCCGGCCAGGACGTCCAGGATCTGTATGAGTCCTGATGTTGAGTCACTGTCCTAATACAAACACATGTGATTTACAAGTTTAGGACATGGCAGCTTTGATTCACGTTACTGTACAGTGACTCACTGTATCACCATCTATCACTGCTTTTTAGCAGTTAAGGTTTGTTGTAAACAGGACTGCAACTATTGTTTGGCAGATAAAATAGTGAAAAGGGCTCTTTATAAGTTCAGTTTGAAGAAGTCACCTCAGGCCCTGGGAACTTACAGCCTATAGCACTGCTTGGTTGCTGCTGAAGTGGAAAGCTGTTGTAACGAAGTACTTGTGAAAGGTTGCACTGATCTACAGGTTGTGACCAGCTGAACCACACTGTCACTCTTCCTTCTGACGGTTCTATTTGAATATTTTTAACAGGGATAAAGAGCTAAATTGTGCAATAACTCACATAAAGAAAGCGATTAAAAAATGGGTGCCCAAGTTTATGGTGAGAATATTTGCTTACTGGTAGCTTTATTTGGGCTTAGCAATGGAGTCAGACAAGGGGGTATTTTGTCACCTGCTCTTTTTGCTCTCTGTGTGGATGATCTGTCCAGGCAGTTGAGAGCCTGTAATACTGGGTGCATGATTGGTAAGTCCATAGTGAACCACATTATGTATGCAGATGACCATATCCAACGAAGGTTGAGGTCAAGGGCAACTGGACTTGGTTGAAGATTGTTTTATTTCAACCAAATCCAGTTGCCCTTGACCTCAACTTTCGTTGGATAACTATGACCTGGATGACTTAGAACATTCACAGATATATGCAGATGACCTTGTGGTTTTTAGCCCAAGTAGTGCTGGATTACAGCAGCTCCTTGCAATTTGTTCGGTATATGGTATGGGATATGATATCAAATATAATGCCAATAAGAGTCGTCACAATCTGCAGAACTAAAGATGATAAATGCTTGAACTATCCTGATTTTAAACTGGCTAACAATAAGCTTAGGTGTCTGTAATAAGGTGAGATACCTTGGTCATTTCAGATAAAATGACAGATGAAGAAGATATTTATAGGCAATGTTGCATGATGTATGCACAAGCCAATACTCTATGTAAATTTAGGGCATGTACGGTTGGTGTAAAGTTACCTCTGTTTAAAGCATATTGCACACCGTTCTAGAGTGCACACTTGTGGTCAAATTATGGTAACTGAAACTCAAAGTAGAATATAACGACGCAATGAGGATGTTTCTCACATAGATGGTGTGGTGCAAACGAGATGTTTGTGGCTGCAGGAGTAAGGAGCTTTCATGCCGTTTTAAGAAACCTAATGTTTTATTTTGATCCATGTGCAGGCTTAATGGGTCACAAAATTAAATATTGGGCTTAAATACGCCTAAGTACTACACGCTACCAATCCCGTATGTGGAAACACTGGTATAATTGTCTCGTGGTAGAACAATGATTGTCATTTTAAATAATTTCATACTTTAAATTCTTCTAACCATGATTTACTATGGGGTTTCTTATATGTAAGCGTCGGGGGTGTTTATCCATTAGCTCAGGTGAAATCTAACATAAGAATATGACGATAGCGATAAAGCCACACAGGCAGTTTGGGCAGGCTAATTCTTTTTCTGCTTAAATAGCGAAAAGGTGTAACTTTTTCATTATATTATCTATTTTGGATGTTAGTCAGACCCCAGATGAAGCCAGCAGTCCCAAAGCATGATTTATTATACATTTTTAGTGTTTTGTCTATTGATTTCTTGTATGTTCTTCAGTAAAAGTTAAGATTTTATAAATAAAAAAAAAACAGACATTGCATCTGAACTAATCATAAACCCTGCACGTGCACAATAATTTATTAAAAAAGACTGAAGACAGGAATCAAAAAAAGTCAAGGCTGCAACTTACGATTATTATCATTGTTGATTATTTTATTAATTAACGATTAGTTGTTCACTTTCTATAACCACAAAGATTACTGTTGTAATTTGACAATAAATTTACCTTCTACCTTGTAAAATGTGAGATCCCAAAGGCCAGGATGACGTCTTGTTTTGGAGCAAATAAACCAGAAAATGTTCACATTTAACAAGCTGGAAAAAGACTTAAAACAATTAAACGATTATCAAAATAGTTGCCGATTAATTTAATAATTGACAGCTAATCAACTATTCGATAACTCGTGAGAAGGAAAACCGATCGTGGAAACAGACTCAACTAGGCCTGGGAATAAAATATTAAGTTTGATGTCACCCTGAAAAAAAGCCCCATTCCAGAACCAGAACTTTATTTAAAAACACAGTAGCTGAAATGTAATTTATCCCACAGGGCGAGTGATGCTTTCTTCTACACGGTTTTCCAGCCGGTCTGGAATCTCTCATTATGAAACATGCAAATCAACCTGTCTGCCACCTTATTCACTTTATGCATCAGGACTGTGACACACGACAAAATGAGGCGATGGTGGTTTGGGGTGGGGGTGGGGGGGCTTTGACACAAGGAATCCAGTGTTCCCACAAATGCTGTTTTGGCCCCAGAGGAGCGGCAACAGGGGCGGCGGGCTGTGGGGACACGTCCCGTCCCGCAGAGAACATTCCATGGTAGAGAACAGGAAAGGGAATCAGGCCTTTTTTCCTCCTTTGGGGTGACCCTTCGCCCCCCTGCGTCTGTCTCTTCCAGGGCCCCGACTGGGCCCCGCTTTGATCTCCCCCCCGCCCGTCACTCCTCAGGTTACAGCTAACCAACACGCAGGCCCCCAGTAAAGACTCAGGTCTCGCCCTCGCCACCCCACCCTCCCAGCGTATCTCCACGTCTCACCTGATTGTGACGGCGCTCTGCTTTTCCTTCTCTTCCTTTATTTTTTACCTCACTTTACTCCCCGGCGCCCCGTCACATCCTGACAGCCGCTCAAAGCGCTCATTGACTCCCCCGGTGGCGAGTTCACAGACCGTCCGTCTGTCACGCCTCTTTCTATCGGACACCTCTTTTAGTTACCTGACTAAAGTACTGTTGCACCTTCTGGGAGGTTTGTCCCTCTGTACAGAGCAAAAGCTGGTGCATATAATCAGAGCAGGATATTGAGACTTTAAAAAACCTCACATCCATTTTTAAACAAACAGTTTCAAAAATGTTAGTTGAGCCTATGTTCTAACTAAATTTGTTATTAAAGATTTTATATGATCAATATATTATATTGAGTGGGATGTTTTACAGTTGAAAGATGAATTTGTCAAAAGCATTACACGGCCTGTAACTGGCTGAGAAACATACTGTATAACCTAAAATGTCCCTGTGTGTGATTGTCTTAAGAGTCCCCTCATTTCCTGATTTATCTCTAAACTAACAACTGTACAAATTTAAATATCTTAAAAAAAATATATATATAAAACTGCACAGGAACATCACTAAATTAGTATAAAGAAAAATATAAGTTTTAAAAATCTGTAAAAATGGAGTCTTTAAAAAAAACAAACTACAAACTACAATAAACATCTTTTTATGCACATTAAATGAAGTAGTGCAAAGTTTTATGCACATTAAATTAATTTATGATCGTTAAAATAGCCTGTCACCAGTGTAACCAGGCAGATTGTGATACTGATATGAGTTTTTAATAGAGTTACAAGAAATCTGATTACGATGCATCGACCAATACTTGTTTTTTTAACATAATATTTTGGAACAATTCTTTAAGAAACTAATTCTGCTAAATGTAAACTGACCTCAAATATCTCTAACATTTCTGTACTTACATATAAGCCAACATATGGACTACGTGGACTGGATTTATATAGTGCTTTTTACACACTGCCTCTCATTTATGAATGTGTCTTGGTCAGGAGGAACTGGGCGACCTGCTCTACCCTCCTGAGCTACTGCCGCCTTCTATTTACAGAGGGCATATCGACATGAATGGTTGATCGTTCTGCTCAGCAATGACTAATTTGTCTTCATATATTAATTTAATCCTCATTTTATGGTTCTCTAAAGACACTCCTGTCCTGCTGTTTCTTCACAGATCATTACGATACCCTCAAATCACCAAATAATAACGGCCTGGTGGTGGCTGATCAATCAGGCTCTTCATTTTGTTTAATTGGTATAAAAGCTAATTCGGATATTCATACAAATACCACTCTTGTACAGTATTACTTCAATGTAAAAAAAAATAAAAGGCCCCATTCACACCATGTTTCACACATAATGTAAAATAAGCGCTGGAGCTGGCTTTGATTATTACGTTAACCTGGATCACAGAGTACAAAATTAAAACAGTCTCACAGACGCCAATTCCCCCGGCGCTCTCCGTATATTCAAAAGGTATCGGTTACAAAGCTGAGAGAAAGAGAGAAAAGAAAGAGAGCGAAAACAGACAATAAAAGAAATGAGTGAAGGGAACACAGATCTGGATTTCCTTCTCTGGCCATCCTCTCGTTGGACCGACCGTGTCGTGGATTCAGCCAGTCACAGTCTGCCTTCTCAACAGCAGCCAAACTAAACATTCCTGCCGGCGAGGGAGGAGAAAAAAACCCCCTCCATCATCACGAGCTTTATCGCGCGCAAGAAGTCTGATAATAAATAAGACAAATGACTCACAATAAACTCTCATTTTCCTCGGCTATTCATCATCTCTGCGGCGTATCGAATTAGCTGCTGTTCGATATTGGGACTAAAAATGGCTTCAGACGAAACTCAAAGTCCATCTCAGTGATAACAGGATTGATTTTTAAATCCCAGGCTTCAGTTTCATGTTTCGCTGTGGAATGTCAGCGGCATATTGGGACTACAGTAGTTGATATGTTGGAGCCACAGAGGAATGAGAGAGAGAGAAACAGGCATACTGTAAGAGAGAGAAACAAGAACATGGAGACAGAGACAGCCAGAGAGTGTTTGCTCTCAAAGCTGGAGTATTGCTGTTGAGGGTGGAGCGATGCCTTCTGGGACTGGCAAGGTTTGTTGACTCAGGCCTGGCCTGGTTCAATAACAGATCAGCGAATAGTGATTCAGAATAACAATACGAGAGAGGGCAGCGCTGGCGGGTGGACGAGCCGGCTGAGAAGCAGAGAGCTGAAGGAAAACACTCACGGTTTCGGTGTTTCCTCTCCGACACAGCCAGCGTTTCTGGACAAAGACGACCTGCCCTGCTGACGGCCTCCGTCATATGCTCACGATCATGTTGCAGACACATCTGAGTGCAGGGTCGGGTTGGGGTCTGATAGCTGGCTCAGTTTTGCATCTAGTCCCAGGTTTGCTAAATACCCGTATTCGCCGAGTCCAAGGCTGACAAATCTTAAGAACAAACCTCCATTCTTTCTTAATTTGCAAAGAGCAGAGGACAAAACATTCAGGTAGCAGGATTTGGATTTTTAGCCGTCAAATAAAATTCTAAAGATGATATCCGCCTTTCTGGTGGGGGGGTCTGGGGGTTGTCCCCCAGAAGATTTTGAGCATTAAACACTTAATTTCCTTCATTCTGGGGACCAGGGAAACACAAAATTCAGGTGGCAGGTGACGATTCAGAATATAAAAATCTAATAGAATATGATGCAGTAATCAGAAGCACAGTTTTCTTCTATATTTACATTGCATTGCAGGCTTATTGTGCAAATAAATAAATCTCATAGCATTTTTATTTGTTAACATTTCTTGGTGCTATTTTTCCAGAACATTTTTAACAAATGCTTTCAAAAAGTGGTGGCTACATGTCCTCAGCATCCCCAGTGTAAATGACCCTGCCTCCCTACAGGCGGAGCTACTCCATGCTCACCTCGGCCCAGCCACAGACTGGCAGGGGCCACGGCTCTCCTTTACTCCTTCAGGCCCCCGTGCCTGCTCTACGTCGGGTAATGCAGCTGATGTTGAAGCTACTGCAGCCCCGGTAGCAAACATATCGGTTGTTGTCGCGCATTTGGTGGCAGCCGTCTAGGGGGGGCCGTAACGCAAGAAACAGAGGTAAGAGGGGGAGGGGCTGGGGGTCAGTAAGAGATGCGATTGGGCCCAGTGTCAGTATAGAAAATTACCCAATGGGCCGCTGTCCATGCTTTATGGGCCCATTTTTAAAAAACAGTTATATAAATATATAATTTACGTTACCCTGGCCCCGAAGGTGCGTCGGCCTTCACACACAGTAGTTCAGGTCACTGCATTGTTAGTTCTGGTGCGGTTGTGCGCTTATACTGAATTATTGCAATCGACCTAAGAGCTGTAAACAGGAAGTCACGTGGGCTGGCAGGTAACTCAGTCATGCTGCATTATCGGAGCTACACGGACCCACGTGGGGAAATCAAATTCCAGTAGCTGCAGGTCCAGCTACACTTTATTGAACCTTATGTGTTCCATATGTCATGCCTCTCATTTAAAGACGCTTACACCAATAGTGGCACTGGCCTAAACATCACCATGGTGTGATCTCTCGCTTTTACAGATCATTCTGCATATTGTTTTTTTCAATCTGCACAAAGACTTCATTAAGGTTTTGAATTTACGCTAAAATCACTACTAATGACACAGCTCCATACCTGCTCACGTGTCCGGTCTGTCCCAGCCCTCCATTCTGGAAGTCTGTGTAGAACTCGGGATTGATGGCGCCGTCTGCTGAGATGATCCCATCTGGATGAAACAATACAAACATGGAGGATGAAGAAACAAGAAGCACTGTGTATGTAACTCTATGTAGCTTTAATATCAATCTTCTCATCTCACCCTCTGATACAAAATACAAATAAGCCAGTTTTCCCAAAAAAACAATGAACTACTCCTTTAAAGCCCTCAGTACCAGCACTGTAGAACAGGTCCGGTCTCTCCAGGATGTCTCCGTTCCCGATGAAGGACTCTCCGTCCTCCCCGAAAAGGAAAGGCTCTCCTGCTTCGTCCATCTGACGGTTCTCCACCATCTCTAGCCACTGACCGTTGTACCAGCGGAACTTCTCAGTCTGGATCTTCTTTCCCCACTCCTCGTCATATTCCTGGAGTGATGTGGAGGAAAAAAGAGGGTTTGATTTGAGCACTTATCAGAAGCTGATTCACAATCTTCTGCTCTGGAAATGTGAACTTGACTATTTCACAGTTTTCCAAAATCGCTCCAGATTCATTCCTTCTTGCAGTTTATGCTGATTTAATGCACCACAGCCTTCATCTTGCTCTTTTTACCCGTTATTTTTTGGTCTTAGGTAAAGACGAGCTGCAGCAGGACATAATTGTTCTGCCTACAGTCGTAGGATAAGGAGTTATTGCCATGTCAAGGTGTGTTTGGAAAATCTATTTCCATCAGCCTTCAACCAGCATTAAACTCTTACACCTCAGCCAAGTGTTAAACTCGAGGCAAATCTTATCGGAGTTAGTCTTAACATGGAGGCGAGTGTTCACTTTATGGCAAAAAATGGAAATATTAATTATAACAACTAAGAGAACTAAAACCCACAGCTCCATGTCAAAGTAAATTTAAAGTTACTATATGTAGAATTTATGGGTTTACTACATTCGTAAATTATTCTTATGGCATTATCTTTTGTTTGTAGAAAATTGGGACAATTCTGGTGAAAATTGGAGCCGTTTATGTCAGAATGCCTTACACAGTACCATTAGGAATATTATCTTCTCTAATATCAATTAGACATGATAACAGCAGATGTTTCCATAAACAAACCAAAAAAAAAAAGGTGTCTGTACCAAATTCTGTGCCAATTCACCTGCCGGTGGCGGTAACAGGGCTAGCAAGTCTTTACAATTCATCTTCTGGGTATCATGCGTATCTGTACTAAATTTCATGGAAATTCTTTAAATACTAAATTTAACATTATTTCTGCAGGACTCAAAAATGTCCGACTTAGAGACTGACATTAACATTCTTAGAGCCACGCTGCTAACGCATGGCTAAAAATGAGATACTTCATATATGTAGAAGTAAAGTAAAAAAGTAGCAGTCTTGTCTTGTTAACCAGAGACTTCCTGTCTGAAGTCGTTATCAGCATGGTGCCTGGGTTAAGTGATTGCTCTCTACTGATCACCATAATGACCCAGCTCAGCGAGGAAGGAGAGCTTCCTGAGCGTGTATGAGGAGGACAAACCGAGAATGTGTGCGTCTATGCATGTATGTGTTTAACAAACACTTCAGAGAGGAAGTGTGTGTTCAGGTATATGTAAATATGACTCTGTGTTGTCTCCATCCTCTTCACTACAGCTAATAAATACCTCCGTCCGTCCAGCTACGCTGTTTGCGTGCGTAGCTCGGTGGAGGACGACCACAGAGTTCTGTTTTCTTTTCTCTGCAGGGGCCGAAGGGGAGCGATAAAGGCGGCCTTTGAGACTGCAACACGCCGGCCTGAAAGATTAATCATTCAGACGCAAAGCAGAGCCCCGTGGGCACCGACAGCCACCCGGGGCCCCGGACTCAAACAGGCCTATTGACCAGAGGCCCCCGCTCTCTGCTGCCGCCCGAACGCTGGAGTGACAGTGACACATTTTGTCAGCGGGCTGATTCATCAGGGGCTGAAACAGAACCATGACTCAGGTTTTAAGAAGCAATTATATTAGTTTAATATGACTAATCAGTTATTAGCAGCTGAGCTCATGACAGAATGAGCTCATCGCAGCAGGGGAGAGGAAGTGCATAACAGTTTTGGGAGCCTTTCAACGTATTCCTCTGGAAATATGGCCAGGCTAAGAATATCACAGTGTATTAGGCTTCTGTCCCACTTGGAGCATCTACAAAGTTCCCTGTGAAGCCACGTGTGTGTGTGTGTGTTTGTACACGAGCAGGGCCACAGTGATCAAAGGCGATCATTTCAGGACTACACAGGCGTGCGCTGCCAAAAGGACCCCGCACAAGCCGAGCAGCAATGATTGTGTGTGTGTTTGTGTCCACAGCTCTGCTTTCTCTCTCACCTCTGCTGTCCAGCTGCTGACACACTCCAGAGCCCACCGGCTGTCTTTCATGTGGTTCACATCTTAATAGGTCTCACTGATAATTTCAATGAAACACTTCCTTTGCCCCGGTACTCTGCCTGGTTATAATCTACAGCTAATTACGCTGATCTGAGGTCTGGCAGGCATCACACACTGACTGGGAGCTGACCACACCTGTCAGTCACAAAGTGACTCAGGAATTCATCGCTTAGTTAATCGCTGATGTCAAATTTGACTCGGTCACATCAGGAGAAGGTGAGTGTGTTTGACTGTGCAACTGAAAGAGAATCTGCTGTGGAAAATAAGCTGCTGGAGGAATTAACGACCATTTTAATAGTTTGAATAAAAATTATTTTAAATTATTATTTTTATCTTACACTACACATACATACTGCTGTAGATTCTAAACTGAAATGTGAGTGCAAACAAACAGCTTCCCAAGGTTTTTGAAAGAAGCCTCCTCTTCAAGGCTGGATTACCAAAACTGACAAAGCAGACAACTACACTGGGGCATTTTGTGTTAATCTGATCAATTTGTTTGGGAATATGCAAAACTAAAGCACTGTCTGTTCTGCTTTATTACCTGATCTCGAGATCAAGATTGTGTGTTCAAATGTCAAAGTGTTGTTTTAAAACCTTAAACACAGCAAATCTGCCGTCATGTAGTATCTCAGCATGTGAATACTATACATATTTCTGCTGTCGCTCTTCAACTGATTGCTTCCTGAGACACTTGTGAAGAACAGGAACCAAATCAGATCGAATCTCAAAAAGGTACAATTTGTAAGATTTGGCCAGATTTCTTGTTTTATACATCTTTAAACAATGAACTAACATGATCAACAGAATGTGAAGAACAACTAGACGTCTATGTACTGCAGAGATATCTACTGAAGTTAACATGCCAACCAGCTTGCCTCAGCCTATGTTGTAATAGCAGTTGTGCAGACAGAAAATACGAGCTGCCCCGAGGGCTTCTTTAATCATTGCTGCAGCATGAACTGCTCTCTTTGCCCCTCACGCTCCTCAACCTTGTGTCCCTCTGCGACACACAGGATATTAACGCACATTAACCAAGTGAGCTGTTCAGACAGAGCGAGCCGAGTGAATCTGGCTAGAAAACATGCTGATAATCTATTTATGCAAGATATAAATTCCATTGAATGATGAAATGGGTGTCCCATGCTCGCTAATCTCCCTCTCCCAGCTGTTCTCCTGGAGCTTCATTGGGCATCTGGATACTCACAGCGATGATGTCCAGTGTGTTGTTGCAGACTTTGCGGATCTCTGCGTTGTTATCGTGCATCAGGTCAATGAGGTATGCAGGGGCTTCTGAGATTAGGACTCAAGGAGAGACAACATTTCATCTTCTCTTGGACATTTTGATGCTAAATCAATCAATGTTAGTCCTTAATTAAAGGGGCGAAGGATGCGGATGAAGTGGTACAGTGGGAGGAAACAACCACGCTTTCATTTAAAGACCGAGACAAGAGGCAGGTGCCCTGTGGCTGAAGGAAAGTATACATTTCCTGTGATGCAGTGAACACACTCTGCCTCTCCTCTCCCACCCACAGCACTGCTTAAATCAGGTATTCTCGTTTTATTCTTCAAGAATAAAGAAAAACATCAATCAAAACATGCTGACAGGGGGCATATTTGTAATTTGACACAATCCACCACAACTGTGTACAATTACGGGCAGCTTAGAATACCCAGAGGGTAAAAAAAAAAAAACTAAACGGAGGGGTTAAAGAGGTTGGTATTGAGATGTAAATGGGAGTAAACAGTGATGAGAGATACATTACAGGGGGGTACTAGGAGCTACCACAGAGACATACGCTAAAGACTGAAAATAAAGTAATTCTGGAGCTATATGCAGCCAGTGTCACTGTGACAGCTACTCCTAATACTCTTGTTAATGTCCTACTTCTCTCTATAAGTGTATCTCATGGAACAGAAGTGTCTATAATACTTTACAAGTAAGCAAAAAGGATACGTGTGTCCTTGATGAGGACGTCCCTGGTGGCTTTGTGAAAGACCATCTGGTAGAAGACGTAGACAATCTGACACACAAACTCATCGTCCTCTTGTTGGGCTGAGAGGGAGGAAAAAGATTAGCAAGGATTCATTTTTTCCAAAGTGGATCGTGTCATGGTTCCTCTCTTCTGTTCGGGATGTTCCCGCATCCTGAAATGTATTTTCAGTTCTGCAAATCCTTGCTATAAAGACCAACGTAACACTCTTTTCACATACGTTCAAGTGTCTCTGGGTAAGATACTGACCTCTAAATTGCTCCCGATGGCTGTTTCATCAGTGTGTGAATGTTAATTTGGCACCTTAGCCTCGGCCATCAGTGTGTGGGTGTAAAAGCTCTTTGAGTGGTCAGAAGACTATGAAATAGTCCAATTAAGTAAATATTCTTTTCTAACTCAAAAAGTCCAGTTGTGGACAACATGACCATCTGATTGCTGATATTTCTACCGGACTAAAACCATCAGTTTACTAAAATAAGGTAAGCACTTTTAGGTGGATCGAAGACAATAGCTTTTGAAGGTGTATTCCAGCAATATACTGTAGTATCATACTTATAAGAGATAAAAAAAGCTTATTATGAGTTGGCTGTTCACTTTCTCTGGTGAGTACACTTAGTTTTAAACAGGTGGTATTCTGCTCATTTTCAGGTTCCTCATCTTATTTAGAGTTTGTACCAGAACAGGTTTACATAGTTATATTTTTGTCATACTGCACATTGCTGCAGCTCCTCTTTTCAGCCTGTGTTGAACGCTTCGTTTTAGCTATGGAGTGATACATCTGGTCTCTAAATGATCTTTGTTGGGAGTTCCTAGTTAAGGACTGCTAGCCAATCAGAAGCAGAGAAGCCGGTAAACAGCTCGGGTTCAGCCGTACGTGTTGCCTACCAGCTTGGCAACATGGACTGGAGCGAGAGTTTCAGAGCGGCGAGTTATTAATCTGTATCCATAAAGTTTTAACTGAGCTCTGTCTCTACATCACAGGAACAACTTTATGTCCACTGACTGCCTGGAGGGTAGCTAGTGTTTGGAAGGGGGAGGAGAGCTGTGTGCTGCAGCTCGCTGTTTTTCCACTGCTGTTTTTGAGGGCGTGTCGGACTAGCCGCTTGGCGAGCGTTATGACACGAAGCGGCTGGACTACAAACGAGCTGTTTTCAGGCAGTTCAGAGTTTTCTGTGGGAGATGGGAACTCCCTTTGGGCTTTGCAAACCTGTTACATGCACAAAAAACTCAATTTAAGTTTATAAGAGGGGAAAAGCCAAAAAGCAGAATACCACCTCTTTAAGACTGGTGTTCGCTAGACAAAATTATCATCCCGGTTAAAATGACAGTTTACGTGAATTACAGATGCACCTAGCTAAGCAAGCGAACTAGCTCCACACACGGCTGTTTAGCTCCACCGTCTCGTCCAAATATGGTCACGTCCAGTGCCGCTGGCTGCAAAAACTCAACATGGCGACGCCCTAACGGCCAAACTAGAGGCTTCAAATCGGCAGTCCTGGGCTACAACTGTTTTTATGCTACCTGACACAAAGCTTATAAAATACAGGACTCTGTTCTTACCGTTGAGCAGCTCAATGAGAGCAGGAATGATGCCAGACTTGGCCAGCATGGCTGCACAAGAGTCATCCATGGAAACGGTGCCAATCATGATCACCACCTCCAGAATGAGGTCATCCTCAGCAGAACCTGACATGAGGGAAAAGTGCATGCTGAGTGGATGACTGGCAAAGAAACCATCATTGATCCTCTAAAAGGTTTGGCCTCTGAATACAAGCAGAACCTTGTGCTGAGCCAGGGTCTGACCGAGTCTTCTGCCGGCTGTGTCCTACACTATGCTCGGAGAAAATAAGGTTATAAAAAAGGACTTTTTTATAGTGTCTGAGGACATCTATTTTTTAAAGGATCCCCAGCGCCTCATTTCAAGATCAATAAATTAGTTTCAGCCCTTTTTCTTTGAGGAACCGGTTTTTATGGATCTGATGATTCAGATCTCTTTGTGTAATCCATCAATTCTTAAACTGCATAAAGTTTGCTGGCCTTCCGTTTGCGCTCAGCTATCCGCACCTCTCTCTTCAGAGAGTGTGAACCACGGTGAGACTTTTGAGGTGAATATCAGAGTTAACGTGAATTACGGACGCACCTTGCTAACCTCGCTAGCTAGCTCCATCCTCTAGTTTGAATATGGTCACTTCTGACTCCAAAAAACAAAGATGGTGACGGCCAAAATGCCAAACTGGAGGCTTCTTTTATACGGTCTATGGGATGGATGCATTACTGTGGGTCTAAAAGATATTGCAAAAAACATTTCAACCATGTAACAAAAAACTCGGTCCATGTGAGTCTGTCAAATGTTATGGGAATCAGTCCTTCACACACACACACACACACACACACACACACCTGGTTTGAGTCTGTCTTTCAGGTAAGGCACCAGGTTGTACTCCTTGAGCACCAGCGCCCAGTCCAGGTCAGGGAGAGTCAGATTGGCCAGCGTGCCCAGGCACTCGATCACAAACTCCTCAGCCTCCACCTCACTGATCTGAGCTGCCAGGTCACCAACATGGTCCTACCAGGAGACACCGGAGCGTGAGTGGATCACACTGACAGAAACATTTTTACCAGTGAGTGAGTTTTTAAAACGAGGACTGATCAAGACAAACCCGAAAAACATTTCACTTGTGTGCAAAACTCCCTTTTTGACTTCATGCAGCTCTATGAACCCACAGCTTTTTTAAACTTTGTTTTCACTTATTACCTTCACTTAGGGGCGTATAGCGATGCCACTACATGTTCCTGCCATTTATTGCTATTTTCAGAGTAAGGTTACTCAGAAATACCATCAAAAGGTTTCTTGCTTGTAAAATATTTTGCCATCAGGATTTAGTCTTGAGTGAAGTCAAGATGAGGTGTAATGTCTGAAGTTTTAAGGAGAACCTTTACTATTAGATCGCACATACAGCTCTCACTGAAAAGAGTCAACTGAGCAGTATGTGTCTATTTCTGTTACTATTTATCATAACATTCAACGCTTAATGTTCCTTCAATCAATCAACTGAGAATAAATAAGACGTCATGACTGTAAAGTATCACCATACAAATTACGAACAACTGGATCAATGTCTATGAAGATTCTCAGTCATCCAGGTCATAGTTATCCAACGAGGGTTCAATCAATACGCTTTAATATAAGCCTTAAAGACTAAATATTAAAGTTTAATTTTAGAACTTTGGATATGCTTACGGGCAGAGTTGGGTAGTAACGCGTTACTCAGTAACTAGTAGTGTTACTAATCCAAGTAACGCTGCGTTACCAGATGCACTCAAGAGAGTGGCGCTTTGTAAAAACACAGAATACTGCTCAAAAACGCAGAAAAACAGTAGTTCAAAAGTCAGGTGTGACTTTTAATTTCAGCCAGTGGCGTTAAGAAACTTCTTGCCACGGTTATAAATATGCTATTAGTTTAAAAGTCGGGAGAGCCTGCTTTTATTTTTACTTTTATACATACATAGGCTATACTGTACTGCATCATCTGGTTTGAGAGGCTGAAATGTTTTCAATTTAGCTAATTGTTGACTCCTATGGTTAATTATTGTTCCAGTAAAGTGGATTAATCAGTAAATAGTAAATAACGCAAGAGGGAGAGACGAATAACCCTTAACCCTGTGACATCTAACAGGGAACACTGATCTGTTGAGTTTACAAGAACTGACCAGGAAGAGGCTCTTGGTGGGTCCGTTGTGCTGAGAAAGGTTCCTGATCATCTTCATCACCAGACCATCCTTCAGCTTCACAGCACGCTTCATCAGCATCTTCAGACCATTACCTACGGCAACAGGGAGGAAAGGAGGCGACGAGGTGAAGCTCCTTCAACATCATGGGGTGGGATAAAATATCCTTGTCCTTTCTTTGGAGCTCATACCTTCACAGATGACCTGGGCATTGTTCTTGTTAGCTGCCAGGTTGATGCAGAGTGAGAGCAGCTCGACGTCCAGCTTATCCTCCCCACAGTCAAACACCATCTTCATCAGCTGTCAATCACAAGTTAACTGTTTAATTCATCAGTGAGAGTCAAGCCGAACTAATCAATAATACACATAATCGATTACATTATCACTTAAAGTTCGTCGTGCTAGAACAACAGGCCTTTATTTATCATCGTGTCAGTGTGTTTATGTAATCTGCTGGAAGCTATAAATACTTCTTAACTGAACTCAAACAAACCGCTTGATGACAAAATGTGACGAGCAACAATTACACCGCGTCATCTTGCTCAACCACATCTGCTCTTTTCTTAAGCCAGCTAAAAAATAAGCCTTAAGCCAAACGCTATGTGTGTATGTTTGTGTGCCTGGTTGTAATTTGTCATGTTGAATAAATTGTCTTTTAAAAATAGAGCATCCCTGCAAATCACCTCTTCTACTCGTGCTAAAGCGAGTCATCAGGGTTTGAGCTCTGGAGCGTAAAGTAGGAAAAGAAATGTAAAATGATTTTTTAAATGTTGGAAACAGAGTAAGAGGGTTACAGATAAGGGGAAGGCGTCATTCCCTAACCTCCCAAACACCCACCTCCACCTCCCTCAGTCAGTCCGTCCGTCTCTCCTGCACTGATTTAACATTAAACAGGAAAAGCTTTGAGCTGAGGGGAGGGGGGGCAGTGGCAGAGGTGCACTGCTTCCCTGTGAGGAGTCAGGAATCAGAGAGAGAGAGAGAGAGAGAGGGTGAGAAAGACTGGGCTGGGCCTGGGTTAGGTATCACATACCAGGGGCCCCGGACCCCAAATCAGCCCCGTCTAGACTCTCTGGCACCTGCCTCTGCTTATTTACCACAGACTGCCACCGGAGGCCCAGTCAGGGCCGCAGCGCCACGCTGCAGTCCGACCAACGCAGCCACCTCCGCCCCCCCCCACCTCCACCTCTGTTCCTCTCCTTCCTCACTCCTGACATCCCCGCCCTCCTTCGCCCCCCCTCCAGCACCAAACGGTGACCCCATTAAAGCTGGAGAAGGGGAAAGGCGCAGGTCAGTCAGTAGCCTGGGAAAGTGATAAAAGAGAGGGGTCTTAAAAGTACGAAGTGGGTGAGAGAGGATAGAAAAGGTGGGAAACGGGGTGAAGCACTTTGTTAAGGATGTATTTTTACAAACAGGACAGATGGAGGGACATGTAAGTGGGACAGAAGCGGATTTGGACTGTGACATTCGGGAAAATGAGGATGGATAAAGCAACACAATGAAAATGACTCACTGAGACTATGTCCAAACTAAGATGGCTAAAGTTTAAGTGCGAAAGTGACACTCATCCACAGTGTTTTCAGGTCGTTTTATTCTCAGCAACAGGAAAACAGTTAAATGTCTTCGTCTTAGTCAAAAAAACATTTAACTGTTTATCACAGCAAGCGGAACAGACGATCTCTGCCGGTTCAACCTCTTCTCTGTCCCTGTTGGGCTTCATCATCATCTCTCATATTCTTTAATACAGAAAAACTTACAATTTAGTTTTCCGGTTGTTGTGACACTGAACAAGGAGAAAGGAATTACCCGGCCTGTTGACTGAATGAACGATGACTCCTATTGTGCCATCTCATGATCACCTCACTGTCTGATAAAAGTCTACATTAATACACACCTGTATTGTGCGATCAGCTACATATTGGCATTTATAATGAGGCAGAGCTGTTGTCAGATCAGGCGCCCAAATTTCCTCAGCATAACTCCCCCACCTCAGCCACCAAGCAAACTCTGTACGAGGGCTGGCCAGGTTAACGAGTTATTATCGCGTTAAAGCATTAATTAATTAACACAGACAATTATTTTATCCCACGTTAATGCAGTTTTTTAAATAATAATTATTAATATATTTTGAAAGTCGCTGGTTCAGAATACACATACAGTCAAACCATGGGGAATACTGCTGGTAAAAAGCACCTTATTTGTTTAAAGAATTCATTATTAAATTTATTGCATAACAACGCGATTAAATTTTTCTAATCGTTGCCCAGCACTAAAAATTTAAAAACATATTTTTACTTTTCAGTTACATCTTCTCTCTCTACGTTACAATCTGGTGCCAGATACTGTATGATATTCTGGGAGGAGAATATCGAATACTTTTAATTTCAATTAATTTATTTTTGCTATAAATAGTCTAGTCTCCTCCTCATGTGATTGTAAATTCCCAATTTCCCACAAATATTACTGAGGACATGACCTTTGTGTTCTCAGTCGTAGCTCCAGTCACAAAGTGTCTTCTTCATTTTTACTGTCACATAGGCTCTGACCGAAAAGCTTTGCGTTTCCTCAATAAGAGTAAAAAGCAAGATCAGCGTCCCCCCCCCCACTCTGGAAACCTTTTGTTTGGAAAATTCATTGTTTTTGTTATTAAAAAAATTAAGACTTTATGTGGACAGAAGACCAAAACTGAGGGAAAGGATCACATCAAGCTAAGTGTGAGCAAGAGATGGATGGAAGACATTGGAGGAATGCAGGTAGAAGAGGGTAGTGAGGGGGGAGCCAGCCTCGGGGCGGGGTCGGAGGTCACATCCTGGCCATGCTGCTAGCCAGCATCCTTTCTACCAAGGGGGACCCTGCTGCTGACGTGACCTTCTGAACAAACAGCCGACTCTCCCGGCCACATCTGGCTGGCATTTACACCCAATCTCAACAAACAAACACAACGCACATTTAGCTAATCGCCAATGATGAGAGGAGCGACTGACCGGGTCAACTCAATCAGGAGGGAGCGTAACTCAACGAAAATGTTATGATCGAAAGTTGAAAGAAAATCAGCCCGAGGGGGTTTGAACTTCAGTGGTAAACTTCATTTTCACGACTCCATTTCACTTTGGACAAACACATCTTTACTGATGTCTCAATTTAGTAATGACAATTAAGAGGCTAAAATGTGAAGACAACACAGAAAAGGATGAAACGGCGTTAAGAAATCATTTCAGGACTCGGTGGAAACAGAGTTGTCATCACAGCGAGAGCGAAGACTGAGCAGCAGTCCTTTGGTGGTTTTTAGTTCCAGATGTGGCGTGCATCCCTCCCTCTCGCTCCGTTTCTCATGCATTAATTGCAGGGTGCCGTTAGCTGCCGATGCTAATGTGTGTGTCTTGGTCTGCTGGCGGCGTACATTAGCCAGTCTTACCTGCGGTATGCAGTCTGTGTCGGCAAACATGGACTTGAATCTGTCGTCCATGCTGATGTGGTACAGAATGCACATGCTGAGCTGTCTCTGGTCCTCGTCAGCTGCAACATAAACACAGGAGGAGGAGGAAAGTCAATGGATGAATGACTGGTTGTGCCGTAACGCTCCGCGGGATGCCAATGACCACATCTAGGAGAGCTGTGTGTTTTTTGAAAATATTAATGGGCTGAATGGACTTTTTAACAGCGATTCCTGTTGGAGGTCAAACAGCATTCAGTGCAGATTCAGCACCAAGACGACTGCAGTTTCTCAGTTTGTCGTCTCTCACAGCAGCTAACCAGAGGAAAAACAATATTTTAAAGAATAAATGTGGAACAGGCTACAGCAGCAGGCTACTGGCTGGAAAAGGCAATCTGTACATGCCGCTTAAAAAAGACACAGTTCTCTCAAATTACACAAAAAATATATTTTCTAACTTATTTTATTTGTCCAGGTGTTGAGATATCCCGATTTCTGCATCCACCCCAAAACAATGTGCAAATAAATACACATACTCACTAGTGCACTAAATGTGGATTATTCCACAGCTGAAAATAGTCCAACAAATTTAGTATTTCCTCCTGTTTGAGTAATGTTTGCAAAAAAAAACAAAAAAACACAGTGAACAGCTGCTTTGGGAAATTAATGAGCATTGTTTTAAATACTGAAACTGTATGTTTTTTAAAGATTTTTGTCTTCAGTAAGAAGCAATGAGCTTGAAGCTGAGATCCAGGAAGTGTGAATGTATTGCCAGGTGGACTAAGGTGTTGTTGTTTGGGTTGACAATAAGATACATAGAGAATAATACAGTGATATCATTTAAAGAACTTCTCTCTGTGCAGAAACAGCGACCCAGTTAGTAGCTGCGGATAATCCGCAGACCTCACCGTCACATAGGAAATGTTTCTTCGGTAGAAATCATTTCCAATGAAAACTGTGGACAGTGAAGTCTGTGGATTATCCAGAGTAGCTGGGAGACTGTTTGTGGAAAAAGACATTCATGTTGAATAATAAAAAAAAGCTGTATTAATAATTTTTTGGCTACTTGGAGGCAGCAGAAAAACTGAAACTATGGCAGAATTAGCAAACACAGAGCAACATGATCATCCCATTGGAGTCATGTTTGAGTCCACCTGATGAATATTCACTCTCCTTTTAGCTCTTAATTTTTAAATTTCATCTCAGCAAACTCCTATTTGACTCTTTAGCTGCTAAATGCTCCACTATGATCACCAGCATGGCTCTAACTGTGTCTGTCTCCTGTTTTCTGCTGGGCAGGAAGTGTACAGTCAGTTTATGAGAGCTTGTTTGATGAAAAGTGGGGTCTGGTGGTAATTCTCTGTGTTTGTCACTATGAGCAACATCTTTTACATTAAACCTATTCAACTGATCCATTATTCACATTAACATGTTTTAAATTATGTGAGCTCTACAAACTAAAGTCCATCCACCTCTGTTGTGTTGTGTTGTAGCCCAAGATCTAATGGTTATATCAAAATGCTTTCTGCATGGACAGACGCTGCTAAAGGTCCATCAGAAAGTGTTTCTTTTTTTGTAATTTGGGTGAAGTGACCCTTCGATATTTGCGCAGTAAAATGAGTACGTTCCCTGTCACTACAGTTCTGTGAGCTTATGAAGACTCAGCAACAGCATGAAGGAGATAAAGACAGAATGGAGTGAGTGTTAGACTGTCAGTGAGACCAGGACCTTTATGAGTTTGACCTCTGACCAGAGCTGGGGGGCTGGAGGCCCGGAGGAGGAGCCAGTCAGAGAGAATTAATAGAGTTCAGAGCAGAGTTTGACCCGGGAACTTTTCATTAAGAGAAGTGTTAAGAGAGAGGCTCTTCACTGGACCAGAACCACTGACAGACCTCCTGTAACGCCCACCAGCCTCCAAAGCCCCAACCAGGTCCAGTTAAAAACAGGTCCCAGCCGTGTACGGTCACTGGCCGTACATGGAGCCTTATCGCTCGAGTATTAGATCCAGATGTGCTCAGTGAACCCCTAGAATCACAGGAGGGAGAGAGGGCCGAGGAGAGACGGCTTCTAGCTTTAATTGGGAAAACAGAAGGAAGCATCAATTTTACTGCCTTTAATAAGTTAAAGCTACGCTGCTCGCTGCTCTGGCCCTTCCAGCGCAGCCAGCGATTGGCCAGAACATGTGCTTCTCATTAGCGATCCTTTACCTCCACCAATACCTTAAAATGCACATGAAAACATCCCCACACACGCAATAAGCTCCTTCAGACTCGGTGAATTCCCTCACTTTGCTGGTAGGAACATGGAGGATCCTTTATGGGTGAAGAGAGATGCCATTAAATGTTCAAAACACTGGTGGGGTTGGGGCTAGAGAGAGAGAGAGAGAGAAAAAAAAAGGTGAGGGGGAGCTGTTAAAATTAACAAGACTGTTCATGGGCAGTTAGTGGGAGAGCTAAACTCCAATTACACCCCAGCCTGATTTAAAACCGCCTAACCTTCGTAAAATTACACTTGTACGCATTAAGAGGCGTCTGGGCTCGGTTTGCGGACAGCGCCGCTCCAGTGTTATTGCATTTTCTGGGTTTGGTCTTCGGAGACATCACACACCACATAACAGGGTCAAATGCTCTTAAAGGAGCTCCCCACCCCCGCTCAAGTCTCCTAATTTGTTTATGCAACGTAGTGACACTAAACACGCTGCACCACAGAACGCTATGGCGGCTGCAACTAATGATTGTGATTCATTCATCTGTGGATTTTTAATTTATTTATTAATAGATAGATACTCAGTTTACAAAAAAAAATCCAAACGTTTGAGAAGCTGAAACAGTTAAAGAATGTTTGGTATTTAGCTTGATAAATAAAATTAATTAATGAATTTATTGAATATACGATTATCAAAATTGTTGTTGATACATTTTCTGTCCATTGACTTATCGAATAACTAATTGTTTTAACTCTAGCTGACACAAACAGTTATAGTCTACTAATCAGCCAATCCTTTGTGACTAAATTAGAATCAGAAATACTTTATTGATTCCAGAGGGGAAATCATTGTGTTACAGTTGCTCATCATGGCATTTATGAAATAAAAATAATAAAAAGTTGGTAAGTAGAAAATATTAAAATGAAAATATACAAAACAATATAAATTTAAAAATATAAATAGGAGTATAGAAATATGTACAGTAGTCTACAGTGTGACTTAAGGCTTAATAAACAAAGTAATAATAATATTGAGTACAAATAACATTGAGAGACGGAATGAATTAATATCCTTAAAAATTGCAGTATCGGGACAAAATAAACCAGATTATTGTACATTAGTTTAGTCTATAAGAGTGAAAACTGACAACGGTCCCAGGATAAATCTGATAAGGTCCAAAGATGATTAAAGACATCCAGAAATATTTTGGTCACGTTTGTTGTTCTTGAAACACGGGTTCAACTGCTCACAACTTACATCCACACTAAAGGACCAGAATTATTCCAAAGCAAACGTGGACACAGACAGCAGACGTGGTTCTGTTATTACTACAGTTTGCGCAAACACCGCTTACGGTCCATGAGTCCACGGTGTCATAAAGAAGATTTGAGTTTTGTTAGTACGCTTTCCTGGGTGTCATCATACGCGTCACATGGACTTCAGCAAGACGTCTGCATGGACTCATGGAAGTGGGAACTACTCTATAAAATGTCAAGAAATTACTACAGTTTAAAAACAGGGAAAAGCAGCAAAAATCTTACTGTAACCAGACAATGTTTGGCATTTTTGCTTGATAACTGACTGATGGACTGATTCTCAAAATTGCGCAAAAGTTCTTTTGATCAACGAACTGACAAAATCTTTCTGCACCAGCTGTAAAACAGAAAAGGAATCTTCTCCTTTCTGGTGAGTTCAGGTGGTGGTGGGATGGATCAAGAGGGAGGTGATGATGACAAGTGGAGGCTCCCTCTCCACTTTCATCTTATCACCAGGGGTCATGACCTCCGGTCAGGTCTGGACGGAGAGAGAGTGGAGGCTGACAGACCCGCCACTTTCGCGGTCTTTTCTCTTTAGAGATAAGACCGAGTGCTCATGCAGAGTGTGTCAGCTGGAGAGAGGACAGTCGGCAGCGAAGGCAGATGATTAATGACACATCGGCTCACATGCAGAGCGAATTACACACACGCGCCAACACACAAATACAGGCAAACTCAACAGTGTCAAAACTGTGAGCAGGCGTAATATTTCAGTGTTAAGTTATATTATGTGTGTGCTTGGCTTCCTGAATGAGCAACCCCCACCCTCAACTTCCCCAAAAACAGCCCTCCCTAAATCTCTGAAGACCTCTCCGGCCTGCTCCTACAAAAACAACATTTGTGCAGAGGCTCTGGCATGTTATTCTAACAAATATATTATATTAATTATGCGCCGTTACCTGAGCCTCCCCTTGAGAGGCTTCAAAAGGTCTGTCAAAGATGCTTCTGACCGTGTCACACGCCCCATGGATGGGACAACGCACCAATCGCACTCTCTGGAGCTTTCAGGTCACTGCTCTAATGGTCACCAGAGGCGGCTCGAGGCCTGGGTGCTGTGTAAAAGCTACACCTGCACATACGCCTCAATAATAACAAATTAGAGGCTCCGCCGCCGTCAAGGAGGATGGGTGGTTTCAGTGAAATAATGGCTCTCCTGATACAGAGGCAAATCCATACAGAACAACCCCAGTCATAAACACACAGATGACCCAGAATAAACACATCCACAGGAACAAACAAAATAATCACAAACAGTCAGGAACACAGCGCAGTCTGATTGATTACCGAGCAGCGAGGAGAGCTTGGGAATGAGTCCTGCCTGGACCATCTGGCTGCGCAGCGACGTGTCGAAGGAGAGGTTGAGCAGGAGGCGTAAGGTGGTGCTCAGCAGCTCCTCGTGCTCGCGGGGAACCAGCCGAGCCAGCTTCTCCACGGCGAATGTTTCAGCCTGCAGACAGAGGACAGAACAAGTGAAACGTAATCTTCCAGCCTAATTCAAAAGCACACAAACGTCTGTAATAATAATAAAAAATCCAGCTCTAAAATGCTGACAGCTACACTACAGTATGCTATGTGGTCCACTACATTTGAGTTGTTAATTTTTCACAAAACAACGTAATGTTGCTTATTTAATATTTCTGTTTTTGGCGGCCTTTAAAGAACACCATTTCCCAAACGCCGAGGCCATCATAGACAAAGAGAACCAGTTGGACAGACTGATGCCAGTCGAGTGTTGAGGTATGAGAACAGACCAAGATGTAAATGCTTCTCAGACAGCTAAAATGTTTGAAGAGATGTTGAAAAAGCTAGACAGTCCTACCATCCTGCAACACCCCTGCATATGAATTTTGCCATGACTATATGCACAAATATGAATTATAACACTTATCTCTGAGAGAACATGCAGTAAACACATCTGCATTAAACACTAAAAGCTTGCCTTTTCCTTTTCATTAAGCCTGGTTTCCAGTTTGGAAATGATTCACATGACCTACAGGCAGGTGGAGGTGTTGAGCTTATGACACCAAACACAGCTCAGAGTCGAACTTAAGACCGCAGACTTTGGGATCAGTGATGTTTTAAAAAATGTGTGGACTCCCTCCACATGCCGTCACTGTCACTGTGACACAGCAGTGCCAGTCAGCCCGGTGCTGCGTGTTGACATGTCTGTTTAACTCTCCCGTGGTCCTCGCCACAGCCGGCTATCACGGTGACGCAACCTGCACCCAGTTAAAACCACACTCACTGCTACTGTGTGCGAAACCAGCTCCAGTCGCACCATCACAAACCAGACCTCGAGCAGCATAATCAACTGCAGCCTGTGTCAATTACCACTGACATGCCCCTTCCATTAGTGACAGCAGCAGGAAAAAACCTTATCAGACTGAGATGTAGTCTTATCTGATCAGGAGAAAGTCACAAAATGTTTGCTGAGTAAATCAAACCTGATGATATACAGTTGTGTATCATTAAGCGATTAGTCTTTTTTGAATCAATTAAACATCCAAGTCCCTAAATGGAGCCCCTTCTCCCCTGTGTAAACTGATATACTCAACCGAGTCCAAGTGTTGAAACCACTATTTTCCTGCTGGACACATGCTTGAGTGGGTCTGAACCCCCTGAAGGGTTCTTTAATCTGAATCAAAGATACACTGAAGGGGGGGAACAAGGAGATAAAACCAGTTCCTAACAGGGTCTGGCTTTGATAAAGGCCCACAAACGGAGTGAGATTGGAACCAGGTGGGGCTGGATTAGGGAAAGTCAGAGCGGCGAGGTTCCTGTATGAGCGCTGTGGGACACGTGACCAAAAGTGGACCTTCTCAGCATGTATTAAATAGAAATTTGATAAGCGTGGTTTCATCTGGCGTCTCTACAGAGCTGAAATGACCTCGGGAGTGTTTTACAGAACAAATAAAGAATGATTGTTTCCTCTTAACTCTGACCGAGTTTAAATGTCACAAAACAATGATGTTAATTAGAGAAGCACAGACTGTTATGTGATTAAATATACTTGTAGAAACAACGATTTAAAAACTCACAGACGTCATGAATTTCAAACAATGAACAGTGAACTGAACTGCTCCAACAGGCAGATCATTAATTAAACCAAGTTCAATCCAAAATGTGTTCAGATCCAAGAGTAGTTTTACTTACAAAACTTCATTGTATGATTATTTTCCTTAACAAATCCCTGATTAATGTTGTTTGTTATATAAGAGGAACATGAGCAGAATCTCTGTTGGTCCGAACTGTGTAATAATTAGGCAGTTTAAAATCCACAAGGGTCAAAAACTATATCTACCGGGGGGGGGGTCAGCGTCAAATCATCCGTGGCGGCGGCCAACATTCAAAACTTTCCTCTATTGTTCGTAGGGCTGGGTGATACGGCCAAAAATGTTATCACGATAAAAACATTTCAATCATTCGATATCGATAATTATCACGATAAATGTCAAATCTTTATTTCTTTTAAGTTTAAAGGCTGATTTTTGCAAATATTTTTGACAGAAAAATTAAGTGCTACTTTGTTTGTGATTCAAATTAATTAAACCAAATATTTATTGACGATATATTGAACAATTATATTGTTATAGAGGAAAATTATATTGCGATAATTATCGTTTAATTGTTTCGCTCCGAGTTTAGATGCAAAGAAAAGGAGCGGAGGAAAGAGAAGTCAGAAATGTTTTCACTGAAAAATAACTAACTCCCTTTTACTCCCTCCTCCTCTCACCATGTCATTCTTGTTCTCCAGGAAGATGGAGAGCTTCTTGAGGAAGGACACCACCACCAGCAGCAGCTCCTCGTCTTCCCGGTCCAGGATCTTCACCAGCATGTGGACGATGTTTTTGTTCCTCATCTTCAGCTCTGTGCGGGTGTCTTCAGCCAGGTTCAGCAGCAGACACAGAGCAACTGTTTGGTCAAATACATCAAGAGACAGCAGGATCATCGTGGGAAACACAAAGTATTGCTGTTTCCATTCAGCTGTAACTCACTCATTTATTTTTATATCAGTTGTGATTAAATTGTGTTATTTGTGCTTCTTGGAGCTGCAGCAAACAAGGATTTTCATTATCAATTAACCGGTCAAAAAATTCTTTGTGTATAAAAGAACAGAGTCAAACATTCTTCAAATGTCTTATTATGTCTGACCAACAACCCAAACTTTTGATTTAAGACACAGAGAAGCAGCCAATCCTCACACTGCAGAAGCTGGAAACAGACACGCTTCTACTGCTTAACACTAAATTAAGAAAATCAAATTGTTGTTGATTCATTTATTGGCAATAACTTTTTCATGTCAGCATTTCTGTTGCAGTCCCGTCTGTTCGATCTTGTGTGCTTAACTGTTTGGTGCTGCATAACTAAATGCTTATACAGTCAGAAAAGCCGCGTTCCACACTGTATATTCTTCATTGCAGAGATTTATTTCTTCTGAATGAAAATGCACATCTTCCTACACTCAGTTGCACAGATATAGTCGGAGACACATCTTTAAGCAGTTTGTACTTCTCTTTATGTACAGTAGCATAGTAGTTTAAATGAATAGATTTGTAAATGTGTTAATTGTATTTTATTTCTTTACATTTTTATCCTACCTCATGGGTGTTTTGTAAATGTGAACTTTATGGAAACTGCTGCTACTGCAATTTCCCTTCTGTGATGAATAAAGTACCTTCTTACCTTAAACTTCCCCAAAATGCAGCCAAACACATCTGATTACTCTGGAAAGCTTTGGGGATCTCCTCTCAAATTCTACATAAACTTCGATTATCGCCCAAACGGCTGGAGTCAGCGAGTATTCTGGTGTTTGCTCATAGCACCTTGTTCAACAGCGCTCTGAGAGCACGCCAAATTCAATTACATCTGGAGTAAACTGCCCCCTTAGTCTTACAAACTGACTACACTGACCCTCACAACTTGAAAACTTTAATAAGAAACGCTCTTCTGATTAGAAACAGACAGCGCATGTAGTTTCATATTTTACTATTTCAACAGGTCTGGCCAACAGCTGCTTGTTTACACATCCAACATGTCCGTTCATGTGGAGACGTGTTTGTGTCACCTGATGAATGTAAGTCCAATATTCACCGGCTCCTGGGGGAAATACCGGGCTCTTTAGCTGCTAAATTGCTCCACTATGTTCACCAGCTGATAATTCTCTGCTGGTTTACCACTACCAGCCACACCTTTCACACCGTTTTCATGTTGTCATTTGATTTTATTATACAAATATTAATTTTAGCCACTTTAAAGTAAATCATCATTTAATTTAGTTATATTCAAAAGTAAATTGCACAAGTCAGAGAGCATGTAAGAATGGTGGAACAGATTATCTTGAGCAGCTGCAGCAGTTGAAAAGTGATGCAGCCATACCTGGTGGACACTGCAGGTAAGATGAGTTTGACCAGTACCTCTGAGAAGCTGCTCCTGCTTGGTCCGAAGGCTCTGGTACTTTCTGAAAGACTTCTCATGTTCTTTCTTCAGATTTTGGTTCTCAGAGGATTCTTCATGTGAAAATCAGTCAAAGAACTCAAATTTACACACAAAAATACATTAAACAACGTCCATTTCTACTGTGCCATGAGAGCTGTCACTAAGTATTATGAGCTCAGTCTCAGTAACAAACAGTTAAGATGCTTTCCATACAAACATCCATTTTATTTAGTAAAAAACTGGCTTTAAGACTGAAGAAGTTTTCAGTTGGATGGCTCTAAAGAAAGGATATAGGCTTTCTTCTTCTTCTGCAGTTCGTCTTGCCAGAGGTCACACCTCTTCAGCTCATGCTCAATGATGTTCATACACAGGGCCCCAATCTTGAAATGTGTGACCAGGCCATGGAACTGGGAGAAACTAGGATGAGAAAATTAAGAGGGAGAGAGAGAGAGACAAAAAAGACTTCCATTTATCCAAAAGTGTATTTCCAAAACTGAAAATCCACTTTTCTTTGGATTGGGGATTCCAGCTGGGAGCTGTCATTAAAATGACCCAATCCGTCACCCCCGAAGTAGTTCACAAAGTAAACTGTCAAAGTCAAAACATATTCAGTCAAACAGTTCGTCTTGGTCCGACTTATAATCAGCCCAACTTGAACCGTTTCACAATCCAAACAGCATAACACGGAGATGGACACGAGCCAAGAGTGACGATCAGTTTTCAGACGTACACGTCCTCTCGCAGCCTAAATCAGCCCTGACAGACGTTTATGTATTATTCTAGCGAGGGCTAATTTTGTGTTTCCTAACCCCCAGTTGGAGAGTGAAACTTCAGTACTAGGTATGCTGCCAAAGGTAGACGACTACTGTAAGAAAGGGGGAGAGCAGTGAAAAGAGGAGAGAGCAGAGGCAACTGACTGTAATGGTCAATGATGTTAAATATAAAAATTTAGAAATACTGCACACAAAAAGACAACTATATGGCTGGCTAAATGTTTTTTTGGGGTTGTGCCTCAAATACATAAGATTAAAGAAGTTTGTACTGGGTCTGTTTTTCCTGGTTGGGGCTCCTCAGTTCCAAAGATGGGGAATCTTAATACTTCACTATGCGTTTGTGTTTGTAAACCCCATCTAACACCGTCGGGATTAACTGGAATGCAAACTGCGAGCAAAGCCTCAGATTAACGTCTGTGGATTTGAAATGACAGGTTCAACTATAAGTTACGTTCCACTCTCCACATACTTTTGGCCGTGTAGTGTCTACTGCTAGGTGTGTCCATACTGATTCATTACATGAAAATGTAACTTCCGTAAAACTTTGGCCCGTCCTTTTATTTGCTAAAATCACTGAATTGATTTTTGGGACAGGCGTCCATATGGGACAGGACTTTAATTCCTTTCTGAAACTACTATGGAAACAGTTTATTTATGACTTTTATAAAAACCAGACCAGGAGTTTAATGGAGACCTGTGTTTATTTGTCAAATTCATTGAAGTTTTACGGTAGATATGTCAGAAAAATGAATTTTGATTTCCTCAAAAATGCCTTAAAATATATAACGTCAGTCAATTTAACAAATTAAATCATGGATGTAGTCTAAACAAACCGTGGACACAGCACATGTCTACAAACATGGACGTGTTCACACGTTTGTAAGTGCGCACAGTCCAAGCAAGCAAACATTTTGGGCTGGGTGTAGACGTATCCTAGCAGGCATGTGCAGATGACAAAAAATTACATCATGCACACCCTTGCAGCCATGCAGAAGTGGTAAATATAAACTCTACACTGGAATCCTCAAAATGTATCCACATTGCATTTGGTACCAACGACACAAATATTGGAATAGCAGAGTATGATATCAAACTAGAGATCAAAACTGTAAAGAAACAAAAGCAAGGGCTCCCCAAAAACACCCGATTTAAAACCATGACAGTGAAACTTTGGAACGAAGAGACCAAATCAGATGCAGATGTTTATGACCCTCTGCACATGTTTGATGTGAAGCTGCTGCTGGTTTACCTGGAGAAGCAGAAGAAGACATAGGTGATGGTTGTCGCCAGGTCCACGCTCTGCTTCCAGTCCTCCCTCAAAACTCTGGCCAGGGCTCCAAGGGCCGTCTCTGCCCACAGACAGACATTCAAACACAAATGAACAAAGACACATATAATGGAGATAAAATATACAAAGAAGAAGTGTCAGACAAAAAGGAGACAAGGCAGGAGCAAAGATAAGAAAGAAAAACTAACGGCAAAGTGTCTGTGTGTGGATTTCAATCAGAGAGCAGTGCAGCTGGACGTTAATTTAAAGAAGCGTGGGGGAATGCGAGGAGGTTGGAGCCTCCTGGGGATTTTGAGCTATAGGTGCTTCTCAACATAAAGACGTGCGTCCCAATGGTTCATCTCTGCTTTCCACGCCGACCCCAGGTCTCTCGGTTCACACGAACACTCTGCTCTTATCAACATCGGACCGGTTGATGCGGTGCGGCAGACGGAGTGAGCTGCCGACTCATTATGACAGATACAAATGAAGCTGTGCCATCTCAGCAGGGCTGCAGACGATGATGGCTCCGTGCTGTTGTGGAAGAAACAGCCCAGTTGTCACGGAAGGGAGCAGAACTGAAGCAGAGCTGTGTTTTCTTTAAAAAGGGGAGCAGAGCGGACGACAAAAGCAAACTGATTCTGCACTCAAGCAGTTCTGATCAGTCCAAAAAAACCTTTTTCGTCCAAATACAGCTTTAGTTTGAGAATGGGAAACATAAGTTGAAGTTTGCGATCCACTTTGCCGGGAAATAGATTATTTTCCAAAAATGAATTCATTCTTAATAATTGAGCATGGAATTTCACCCTTGACCTTTCCAGAGCTGTCAGACACATCAAGGTCTTCCTCTGCAGAGTTTGCTCTGTTGTCATATACACAGTAATTGGATGGCCAGCAAAAGATCAAGGAGGCCATTCACATAAACAGGGGTTACCATCTTCCCTCCATAAACCACCACCTGGGCAAAATCCCTGCTGCCATGAGATGCTGTCAAAGGCTCCAAAAAAGCTGGTAAGTACACTTAACCTAATTCTGGAAGGGCAAGTCTGTAGAATAAATATCTCCCTACATGAGCTCCACTAATGTGCACAGACTTCTACAGTACGTTTACAGATATAGTAAAAATAAAAATGGGCATCGACAGTGGACACGTGATTCTGTTTATACTACATCTGCATAAACTTTCGTGTTCACATGTTTGTCGCCGTGTAAGGTGCACTTGACATGGGCAGATTAACCTTTCCGTGGCCACTAGGATGTAAAAACTAAACTGTGCTTAACTAATGGTTCATTCATTACTAACTACCAATGTGAATGAAGGTATTGACCCTGAAACTGTCAAGATGGAGTAGGACTGGGTCTTGTTTTGTTTTCATACCTGAGCTTTGGTACAGAAACTGAAACATACATGTTGCCTAATGTTTACCCATTTAGGAGCATTACCTTAAAAAAACTTTTGTTTTTGCCCCCATTTATCATGACCTGAACTCAACGAGCTAAGACTTTCTCTATGTACACAATAGGCCTATTTTTCTATTTATCTGTCAAAATCTGTGTTAGTGAGCACTTCTCCTTTGCAGAGATAATCCATCCACCTCACAGGTGTGGCATATCAAGATGCTGATCAGACAGCATGGGGATTGCACAGGTGTGCCTTAGGCTGGCCACAATAAAAGGCCTTCAGCTGGCCACAATAAAAGGCCAATCAAAAATATGCAGTTTCACTGTATTGGGGGTATCCGGGGGGTCCAGAAACCAGTCAGTATCTGCTGTGACCACCATTTGCCTCATGCAGTGCAACACATCTCCTTCACATAGAGTTGATCAGGTTGGTGATTGTGGCCTGTGGAGTGTTGGTCCACTCCTCTTCAACAGCTGTGCGAAGTTGCAGTCAGGTCGACACCCCGATGAGGACGACGAGCATGCAGATGAGCTTCCCTGAGACGGTTCCTGACCGTTTGTGCAGAAAGTCTTTGGTTATGCAAACCGATTGATGCAGCATCTGTCCGGGTGGCTGGTCTTAGACGATCTTGGAGGTGGAGGTCCTGGGCTGGTTACACATGGTCTGCGGTTCTGAGGCCGGTAGCATGTACTGCCAAATTCTCTGAAACGCCTTTGGAGACAGCTTATGGTAGAGAAATAAACATTCAATTCACGGGCAACAGCTCTGGTGGACGACATCTCGGCAAAGCTGAGGTGGTGATGGCGCAATGGATAAGACCCCTGCTTTTGGTGTGAAAGACCCGGGTTCAATCCCCCACTGTGACCCATCCACCAATGTGTGCCTGAGCAAGACACTTAACCCCTGGTTGCTCCAGAGGCGTGCGACCTCTGACATATATAGCAATTGTAAGTCGCTTTGGATAAAAGCGTCAGCTAAATGGAAAATGGCTTCCCCAAAAGGAGAAGTGCTCACTAACACAGATTTTGACCGATTTGTGAACAATGTTTGAGAGAAATAGGCCTTTTGTATACATAGAGAAAGTCTTACATCTTTAAGTACAGCTCATGATGAATGGGGGCAAAAACAAAAGTGTTCATAATTTGTTCAGTGTAGATCGATCGATCTACATATTGGCGGTACAAGAACAGGCACTCAGTACAAGATCAATAGAGGCTGGGGTCTACCACACCAGGCAGGACCCCTGGTACAGACTGTGCAAGGAGGCCCCTGAGACCGTACAGCACATAACAGCAGGGTGTAAGATGCAGGCAGGAAGTGCATAAATTGAACGCCATTACCAGGTAGCTGCCATAGTGACCAGGAACATCTGCCATGAGTATGGGCTGGAAGTCCCAAGGTCAAAATGGAAGACACCTCCTAAGGTAGTTGAGAATGACCGAGCTAAGATCCTGTGGGACTTCAAGGTCCTGACTGACAAACTGGTGATGGCTAACAAACCAGACATCGTGTTGATCGACAAAAAGCAGAAGAAGGCTGCAGTGATAGATGTGGCGATACCAAGAGACAGCAACATCAAGAAGGAGGAACACGAGAAGCTTGAGAAATACCAAGGGCTGAAAGAGGAGCTAGAAAAGATGTGGAGAGTAAGAGCAACAGTGGTGCCAGTGATGATCGGAGCACTGGGGGCTGTGACCCCCAAACTGGGAGAGTGGAGATATATATGTTTTTTAAGCTATAGAAATAAAGTTTCTCTTAAAACTGTTAAAACAGCTATTCATATGCTACTTTTATGTTTAAAAAAAACCTTTGTTAAGATGAGCATACCTGGATAGTTTTACCTTTGCTTTTGAACCTGCATCTTTCTATGATTTGGAAAAAGTCATATCTTTATCAATATTACTATAGATCATCAACAAATTGGTGTTGGTTGTAAGCATGTTGCTGGTGTTCCTGCATTTCCGCATTAACAGAAAGAACTGAGCTGAAAATATGTGAAGTCTCACTCAAGGGCAAATCTTGCTCTGAAATCTCGTGAGAGGCGAGTTGTTGCAGGAAGACGACAGTGGAAAGAGGGAGAGGCGTTTGTTGTGTACGCAGAGGGGCAGCTAGCAAGACTTTATTTCCGACACAACAAAGTCCTCTCTCCAACTCTGACTCATGTTTCGACGTCTTCCTGCAAAAACTCGCCTCTCACGAGATTTCAGAGAGAGCTGTCCTTGAGCGAGACTTCAGTTTCCTGTTAAAAACAAAGGGGGTCACCGAGAGACCCTCGTAGGGATCCTTTCCATGATGTTGTCACACACCTGGTTTAACAGTCTGAGCCTGTCGGCGGCAAAAAGAAGCACTTTTTGTGGACGCCATTTTGACGGGCGCAATTACCCCAGAGGAATATGCTGCAGCGGGTTCACAGCTGCCGTACCTACTAGTCATTTCAATCCCAAAATATGAGAAAATAGAGACCAGGTTTAAAAATACTGAAATGACACTTTTACAGAGGAAGGTACCGTTCTGTATGAGTTCCTCCAGGTTGTCCGGGTTACGAGCCAGCTGGAAGATGAGTGTGGCTCCTCTGATCTTCTCCTGGATGTCCTCATACAGCAGCTCCACGTACTCGTCGATGCTGTTGATGCTCGCCTCCTCGTCCAGCTGAAGGGAAATAAAACAGCTGAACGTGCTGAGCTCAGCCTCAGCCCTACACATGTACCATCCTCTATCAGTTCCTACCTCCACTCCTGCGTAAGGTGTGAAGTCTCGAGGTGAGATGCGTTTCTTGTCCTGGTTGTCTGTGAAAGGCAATATTCAGCGTTACCTGTATGAGAATCCGTTTAACTATAAGCACATCAGTGTTGGTTGTAAAGTAGTCACGATAAACTCTTTAATACCGTTTGATTGTTTGCGCTTTTGCAAATAGAAAAGCAGCTGCTCCACCTCGCGGAGTTTAGACGGGTGAATCAGCCGACATTCCTCCACCACTTTCCGAGCCAAAGAGGACGTGTCGGTGTGGGCGTTCAAGCTTTTCAGGCGAATACTGAGCACATAGACAAACCAAATTACAGAGCTGCAGTGATTGCCTGATCTTCTGTCAACTACTAAATGAATCTGCAATTATTTTGATAGTGGATTAATTGGTTTGAGTCATTTTCTAAGAAACAAAAAGTCAAACGTTCTCCGATTCCAGCTTCTTAAATAAGAATATCTCCTGTTTTCTTTGCTCCTCTGTGACAGTAAACTGAATTTCTTTGGGTTGTGGACAGAACAAGACATTTGATGACGTCACCTTGAGCTTTGGGAAACACTGATAAACATTTTCACCCATTTTCTGACATTTTATAGACCAAACAACTAATCAATTAACACTGAAAATAATCATTAGTTGCAGGAGGATGAGGACCTGGTTTTCAGATGCAAGTTTCACAATGAAATCACGATACAGAAATAATACAAACTCAGAATGACAGCACATTATGAATCCTGAATTCAGTGAGGGCGTATACTACTCACATTTTCTGACACTCTTTGCGTTCTCCAACCATCGGGTCCCCCAGCTCTCCCAGGATAGTTGCCTCCACTTCATACTGAACGACAAGGGCTTTCTCAGTCGGGTGGACGTCAAGGGTACAGCCCTTCACTCTCCTGTGGGAGACAAAGAAAGGACGCGCCTTTACCTCTACACTTGGACAACGTAGAGGCAGTGACTGAGAAGAGGAAGAGAGGGAAGCTGAAGGTCATACCAGGAAAGCCCTTGATTCTAATTTATTGTATTTTGTTCTCTATTTTTGCTCTTTGTATTACATTCTCCTGTTCTGCTGTGCCAGTTTGAATTTCCCTAATGGGGGGGGGGGGGGGGGGATCAATAAAGGAACATCTTATCTTCCTAAATGCTCATTCTTGTTTGATTAAGTTTGCCTAATTGAGATAACATATTTTCAACACTTTTGTAAGTATTGTAAAAATATAAAAAATATAAAATAAATGAATATTGCTATCAGGATAGGCCAATTCAATAAGTCAAGATTTAGAACAGGTCTCAAATCTTTTTATGTTAAGTTGATTGAATGAAGTGTGAATGTATTTAGTATTTTAGTACATGTACGGTTTCATTTCATTTGAATTAGTTGTAATGTAGAATAGATTCAGTAATGTAATAATTGTTGATCATCAGGATTTGGAAAAAGGCCCAGGTAGTGCTTATTTACTGCAACATTCATTGTAATACATTTAATTAATCTAATTTTCAGCGTTTTGCTCCAAATGTAAAGCACCTTGAGCTGCATTTTGTGTATGAAAAGTGCAACTCAAATAAACTTATTACTGTGTATGTTGACATGTGTTTTATGACTGCTTCTCCTCTGAATGACTGAAATAACTGTAATGTTTGTTAATAACGTTGACTTTTGGACCGTTGGATTGGACACAAGCAGCGTTGTGAAGGTGTCACTTTGGGCTTTGGGTAACTGTGACGGCAGAATCTTTACAAACCAAACTATCAATCGATTCTTGGAGGAAATAATCAGCAGATTGATCCAGAATAAAAAATAATCATTAGTTTTAGCCCGATACAAAACAGCAGTGAAATCCTGCTTTTCATTAATAATACTAATCTGATGAGAGAATACATAATATATGCTTTAATACTTTAAGGACATTTCTCCGATTATACTCGCATGCTTTTACTTAAGTAACCTTTTCAATGCAGTAACGTTACTTGTAACAGAGTATTTGTGGTATTAGTTGACATGTGTGCTGTTGTATGACAGATTGAAGCTAAACTAAACACCACCAGCTTCAGTGTGTTTGCATATTTTAACACCAATTACACTCTTTCCTCCTCAAAACAAGCAAGTTTACAGTATTTTAGCAGCGGTGTCAACAGTCAGCAGGACAGTGGGGTCTTATTGAACATTTTTTCAATCATTCATTTTAAAACCTCAAAATGACGCATCGATTTTTCTTACACGTCTTGGTCGACATTTCCACAACCTAGACAGGAAACAGATCTGTTAACGGTAACTACTGTTTGCTGCCTTTAGATGGTCGCACTTCCATAAAATGCACGTTGTTGTTGTTGTTATTATTATTATTATCACGGTTCTTGGGAGAGTCGGTCAGCCCTGCAGCAGCTGAGCCTCTGCTGGGATTCACGGTGACAAACGTAAACAAGCGAACAGCTGTGTTACCTTTTCAGGTACCGCGGATCTCCTGCTTGCAAACTGTCCATTTCAGAAAGGAAAGAAAGCCCACATCAGGTGTTTATCCAGCTGATGCTGATGCACACAGGGCGGATGTTATTTATCTCCTCAGCTCGTTGCCAGGGCGGCGGCACAGCTCCCAGCATGCACCGGAAGGCACGTTAGCACCTGTAGTTAGCTGCACTGCCACCTGTAGCCGCGGATGACGAGGCTGCTGCAGCAAACCTGCAGGAACAGATGAGGTTTTCATTTTTTTGATTGAGCTTTCATCTGTAATTTTATTCTTCGGAATCAGACCTGGAGAAAATAATAAACTGCTGCTCTGAAGCCTGTGGGGGAATGTAACTTTACTCAATCCTCATGTGTACATAGAAATGACAATAAATTAGGAAGTATAATGAATTTACAAATTTAAATGTAATGATAAAGTAGGCTACTGTTCACACAGCTGATGTCTGCCTCACTGTGACCCCCAGCCTCATGTTCAGTGGTTACCAATTATTATTTATTCATCGTTCTCTATTTCAGAGCTGGTCATATTATCATAATGTATTTTGTATGTACTGTATACCAAATCCACCTACCTCAAGTACGGAACACCTGCACATAATACTTATTTATATATTCCAGCTTCCTTTGCGCTGTGCTCCATCACACTGTGTACATATGATAATAATTTACCTCTGCTGATTGCACTATTATCTCATTTTGTCTATATTGTTTTTGTTTATAGTGTGTATATATGTGTTTTCTATACTGTAGCCCATGTGCGATTTTATTATTATTATATAAACAAGCACCCTGACCCTGAGTCAAATCCCTCGTATGCGTACACATATCTGGCAAATAAAGCTGATTCTGATTCTTTTACTTGAGTCTTCTCCATACCCAGCGAAGGTTAAAAATCAAGGGCAACTGGACTTGGTTGAAGATACTGGAAGATGTTTCGTCCCTCATCCAAAGGACTTCTTCAGTTCTGACTGACTGGCAGGGAAACTCAGCTATTTAACCTCAGTGGGGTCGTTGGCCCGGGTCATCGATACCGCTGGTTCGTTAGTGTAGGTATTGGTCCACACACACACAGACCAATACCTACTGTTCGATTCACACCACCCACTGGAGCACAAGCTAGGGGTCATGAGAACACTGCACCACAGAGCGGAAAACATACCAACGAGCGCCCAAGCCAGAGAGAAGGAACAGAACCACCTGAAGGGGGCACTTACAGCCTGTGGATACCCTAAATGGACCTTTGTGAAGACAGCCACAAGATCCAAGAAGAACAAAACTACAGGGGAGGAAAAGAAGGTCAAACGCAACAACATTGTGATTCCATACGTGTCTGGAGTATCAGAGAAACTCAGGAGGATTTTCAACAAACATAACATCCCTGTGTTTTTTAAACCCAAGAACACACTAAGACAGATGCTGGTCCACCCCAAAGACCGCACACCCAAACACAAGAAAAGCAATCTAGTGTATGCGGTCCAATGCAGTGAGGAATGCACAGACCTGTATATTGGGGAGACTAAACAACCGCTACACAAACGCATGGCTCAACACAGAAGGGCCAACTCCTCAGGTCAAGACTCTGCAGTCTACTTACATCTGAAGGACAGAGGACACTCGTTTGAGGACCACCAGGTGCACATTTTAGACAGAGAAGATGGACGGTTTGAAAGAGGTGTCAAGGAAGCATCTACACCAGGGTGGAGAAGCCGTCATTGAACAGAGGAGGGGGTCTACGCCACCATTTATCCCCCACTTACAATGCTGTCCTTTCATCACTTCCCAGGAAACTCAACAAACGTAACCTATTGGCCTCAGGTGAAGATACCAACGATGGTCGTTCAGTCTTGGCCACAGGTAGTCTTAACGACTGTAACGACTGTCGTCACAGCAACAAGGAACACTAACGAACCAGCGGTATCGATGACCCGGGATAATGACCCCACTGAGGTTAAATAGCTGAGTTTCCCTGCCAGTCAGTCAGAACTGAAGAAGTCCGTTGGATGAGGGACGAAACGTCTTCCAGTATCTTCATCCAAGTCCAGTTGCCCTTCATTTTAACCTTCGTTGGATAACTATGACCTGGATGACTGAGAATCTTCATAGACGTCTTCTCCTTACATGCTACGTTCTAATTCTACTTTCAGACAGAAACTGTATATATGTATTTTACTACACTGCATTTATCTGACAGCTGTACTTTATAAATTAAGATTTTTATTTTTTTTTTTTTTAAACACAGGCAAAAAAAAACTTTTGAAATTTGATGCGTGGTTAGTTAAATTACAATGTTATTATGAATAATAAGTGAAAAATATAAATTATTCCATCAAACAGTTTACAAAAGTGAAACAAGTAGTCAGTTAATTCAGTGGTTCTCAAACTTTTTCACATCAAGGACCCCTAATCGGACACAAATTAGACCACAGACCCCTGTCTGGTAAGATTTTGTCCCAGGGTCCTTAATCCTGATCTGATAGGATAGGATTTTTGCTTTTACATGATTTATTCATTACAGGAAGTGCATGAAACCCACCACTGTAGCCATACCTTCTGTCATTGTGTTACTTTGTTTTGTGGTGAGGCAGGTTGGAGGACCCAAATGCAGGACACACGGCTTGCAGGTATGGTTCAAAGATTTATTAAACCAAAAGTGAGCGCACTTACAAGTAGTGGCTGAATCCAAAGGAGAATCCACAAGGGGAAGGGGGAAAACACAAATCCAAAAACAGACAGAGCTTCTTCACACAACAAAAAACTGCACATGACGACAACCAGACAGGGAATGAACAGAAACACCAAACAATTATACACAGGGACTAACGAGCAGGGCGGGAGCAACACAGGTGACTGGGATCAGGGTTAACGAGGCAGAGTGACAGAAGGGGAAAACAGAGAGACTGGCTGACAGGCAGATTACTGGAGGTGAGCAGACATAACAAGTACTGAACACTAAACATATCAAAGTAAGAAGTAACAGATCAGAATAACAAAAATAACAAAGTAATCCAGACACCATCAGACATATCACCACTAAAGAGACTATAAAGACAATTAATTGGCAACTATTTTCATTTTTCATGTAAAAACATGTGAAGATTTGCTGCTTTTGATGATTATAATAACTGTAATTTTGCCACAAGGTGCTGCAAATATCAAAATATGACTTCTCTTTGACCAAGGAGGAGACAGTAACAGCGACCTGTGCGATTCTCCGATTATGGAAAAGCTCATCACCTTCAGAGTTTAAGCAATGGATAGAAATGATGTCAGAAATAGTGGTCTATGAATACATGTTGGCCAGAATCAATAGTGAAGGTGAAAGCCTTGAGAGGTCAGGGAACGCCTTCTTGGCTGCAGCATTAATAAGTTAGGCTACTGTGATTGTTGAATTGTTATTCTGGTGCAAAATATGTGTGCTTACTTCTGGACATGGGACATTTTCTTGTACAATAACTATGCTGTCTGTTGTGCATTTAATGTTTAAATAAAAACTTTAATTATAGAATAATAATTGGACACAACAAGCCTTGTGAAGGTGTCACGTTGGGCTCTGGGTAACTGTGACGGCAGAATCTTTACAAACCAAACAATCAATTGATTAATTGAGAAAATAATCAGCAGATTGATCCAGAATGGAAATTATTTTTAGCTGCAATCCAATAAAAAATAGTTCAAAATGAGCTTCAGCTCAACAACTACAACAGTAACATCCTGCTTTACATTAACGCATAGTACAACCGGCACCGGGACATTTTACTGCTTTGAGTACTTTTGCCAAATGCCAAAAAGTACATTTTCCTGATTATCCTTACATACTTTTACTAAAGTAACATTTTCAATGCAGGACTTATACTTTCTACAGTGCAGTATTAGTACTTTGTAGCAAATGTCTCTTAGTACTAATAGGTGCCTGAGCACAGGAGTAAGTTCACAGCTTTATTCAGCACAATGTATGAATGAGAATATTTTAAAACCAGGCATTCAAATTATTAGACATACACTTACTTTTTATAATGCCTAATGTGCAACTAATATTACTGTATAAAATATACATGTTCTTCTCAAAGGATAAAGCAGTTCTTCCTCTTTTAGAAAGGAATGTATCTGCAGATATGATGGATGCTCTGGGTGCAGGCTGAAGTCACAGAAGCCACCAGTGTGGGTCAGGGTTCAGTAACTGAACGTGACCTGAAGTAAGGTTGTATTGTTATATTTATTCATGTCCTCTGCAGGTTTTGCTTGTTAACACATTACCCAGGAAGAGAGTGTTTAAACGAGAAGTGGTCGCAAATAAAACTCTGCAAAAATCTATTGGGTCCTAAAAGTTTTGTTTCCTTAAAACAAGGCAAACATCTGCTCAAAAATTTACTAGAAATTGTTCTTCATATCTTGAATGAAGACAGAATAAAGAAGATCACTGCAACATTACAAGAGACACTTGATTATTTATTTTGAAAAGACGTTAAATAAGACTTTTGAGACTTCATAATAAAACATAAACTTGATTAACTTCCCATATAAACGCCACACCAGCCTTGTAGCCAGTTAAATAAAGTTACAAGTGAGAGATCACCAAATGACAAGTAGGTGTAATCAATACAAAAAGTATTTGCATGTCTCAGCACCACTCAGTGACAGCTGATGTCACCACACTAACTTTAGTCTGTGGCTCGTGATGGACATTCAGTGTCAGAATATTATTTGTGTTTAGGGGACAAAAATATACAGTATTCCCTGACAACTGACTGAATGAGTACTGCTGCTACAAGAGCACACGTAGATCGTTTGTTTTTGTTTGACAGTTTAGGATTTGCACGCAGCTTTAGAGATGCAAGTTTCATACCCCGTCCTACTCAATAAAAACAGACACCACGTCTGCAGCCATTGTGGTTTAGACATGTCATCTGCAAAGCTGTCCATTTATATGTTAAGCCAAGAATGGGAACTAACAGCTACTTAAATCAACGAAGTACAGTCCTGTAATTCATCCTGAGGTCAAACCTAAAAAGAGGCGTCAGTGAGAGTACCATCTTTTCGGTATCATTTTTTTTTCATCATTTTGCTTTTTGTTTTGTTATGCAAAGCATAAACACAGAGAAACACGGGCTCTGAGCCAAAATGCAGACACCAAGGTGGAGCAGGTATCGTCTACAGAGTTTAATAAAGTAATGGGAAAAAAAACCCATACATAAATAACAAAGCAGGCAGGAGCCCCCCAATGATAAATAATACAATCGTCTCTACACATGTAAATATCGCTTCATTTCATATCATGCACGAACCTGGCACATTGCACATATATGTTGTTAATTGTTAATCGTTGTTGTTTTATTGTTATTTTTAGTTTTTTATATTGTCAATTTATATATTTATGTTCACAACATCCTCTTCCTTTGCAATACGTCTGAGCAACACATACCAGAGTAATGCACATGTAAATATCTGCCACGTTGTTCTTTCTCTGTAAATATTTGTATTATTTTTCTCTCCAACGAAGGTTAAAAATCAAGGGCAACTGGACTTGGTTGAAGATACTGGAAGACGTTTCGTCCCTCATCCAAAGGACTTCTTCAGTTCTGACTGACTGGCAGGGAAACTCAGCTATTTAACCTCAGTGGGGTCGTTGGCCCGGGTCATCGATACCGCTGGTTCGTTAGCGTTCCTGGTTGCTGTGACGACAGTCGTTACAGTCGTTAAGACTACCTGTGGCCAAGACTGAATGACCATCGTTGGTATCTTCACCTGAGGCCAATAGGTTAGGAACTGAAGAAGTCCTTTGGATGAGGGACGAAACGTCTTCCAGTATCTTCAACCAAGTCCGTTGCACTTGATTTTTAACCTTCGTTGGATAACTATGACCTGGATGACTGAGAATCTTCATAGACATTATTTTTCTCTATTCTTCTATTATTCTTATATAAGTTGCATTTGTTTATTCCATCTTTATATATTTCTACATCTATTTATGTCTATTACTCTACTTACCAAAGCAAATTTCTTGTATGTGTAAAACACTACTTGGCAATAAAGCTCCTTCTGAGTCTGATTCTGATAACTCTGAAATCCAAAAAAATCCTTTTCTAAATATTTGCACTGAAAGTTGTGCTGTTTTTTGTTATGAAATTGATTGAGTGAAAACTGCAGGTTTTAGGTATAGGTAGATGTGACGTTTTTAACTTTTGAAATATAGTTGAATCATTAAACAGTCCGTCCAGGGCTTGGCGGGCCTAACCCTACCCCTGACCCTAACCCTGCATATTTAAACCAGCTTAACTTGATTCTTTCTTGCAGCTGACCGGGATGCAGCAGCCTGTGTCTCAGTGTCTCGTCTGCCATTCTCCGCATACGTTTTGCCGTGTTTGTCAGTAGATGATTTCCTTTATGTTCGACCACAATACTGCACATTCTGCAGAACATTTTCCCCACTTTGGTAAGGAAGATCTGGGTACTGTATTTTACAATCCTTTTTTTTTTTGTCAGCAAATTTGAGAGACGGTGTGATGTCTGCTGCGTCATGTAAACAAGGAGGTGACGAGCTGCAGTATGACAACATTTTGCAGGGATTTGTTCGTGTTTGTGACATTGCAAAATACTGGAGGGACTGCACAGTCGTCAAATCCAGGTAAAATACAAAGCTGGGACGCATGACAACTAGCATGACTACAGCTAAAGCAAAGACAAAGACTTAAATACACAAAAGGAAGGTAACAAACAGGTAACAAACAAGACACAGGTGAAAACACTGACAGAAAGCAGAACAAGACAACGACACCAGGGGCACAACAACTTCAAAATAAACCAGGATACACTGATGAACGTACGTTGTTGTACAAACGTAAGATGTGGCTAATATTAGGGCCACGTTACACGGCAGCATGGGCTTTAGGTCAGACGTACAGTATGGACATGTGCTGCTGGAATTTAAAGCATGAAATGCAGTTGCCTCCGTTTGTCCTGAGACAGCAGGCGTCTCTCTCCATAACCCGGCCCCCCTCCCTCACTCTATCGAAGACAGTGTCCCAAGCAGGCGATCTGTAAATCTGGCGGGACGTCCCGAGCGCCGCCCCGTGAAAAAGATCTCTGCCGATCACTTGAACTCTGGCAGAGACGTGTTGAACACTCAGCTAGACAGATATAGCAGCAGCTGGAGAAACAGTGTCCCAAACAGGCACCGAAACCATTCAGTGTTACTCTCCTCTACCGTTGCTCAGTCAAACCCCCTCAGGATCACAGCGCTGCTCAGTGACAAGGCCGCACAGCCAAAATGGAGTTTTCGGTTGAAGATGAAAGCAGCAGCTCATCACCAAACCTTGCGTACAAGGCCGCTCACCAGGCGTTCAGGGATCGCTGGAAAGAGACAGACGACACCATGTGTCGCCACAGCATGTCCTTCCACCTGCACCACACGCTGAGGAGCGAGTTCTTCGCCAGCTACCTGTACCTGATTGAGAATATTCCTCTAGGTAAGAAGAAGGGCCACACAGAGAGCCAGCCTCACACCAGTCCCACTGTCAAGAGGTCACAATTTACAACCTGTTCTTGACCCTTGACTCCATTAAGGATTGGGAAAAGCTGAAGAAGCGTGCCTGTGGTTTGGAGTTGGGTACAAATCACTTTACATTGCTGTTGATGTTTTAACAGTAAAAAAACATTTTATTTCCTACAGTTTTTGTTTCAGACAGCCATTAGTTTCCATTCTTAAAAAAGAACTTATGAGGGCTTTAAACTTGCAGCTCAGTCAACATCACGTTCTAATTAGTTTAGTAAAAGTCACATATTAATCAACAGGTAACGCTTTTAAAGTGCACATTGATTAAAAACTCTGTGCCGCATTACCCATAATGATGCCACAAAAAGAAAAATCAAAGCAAACCTGATGTTCACTGTGACTGATCAGTTGTCTGAAGTTGTTTTACATATAGTAGTTAATGAATGGAAAACAATGGCTACCTAGAAGGTAGGAAAATACAGACATCTTTGGAAAGCGTCAGCAGTATTGTAAAGTGTACAGGATTAATATAAAACGTGATAAAACACACACAAACTCTGGGAATGATTACGAGCTTTGGGGTTTCCCACAACAAAAAATCTCTGTGATAGCCAGTACTCTGGTTTGTGCTGCTACAATTCAAATATCATACCACGCCATTATAATCCAATATTTGGAAATACTACATACTTGTTTTGCAGATGCTCTCATCAAAAGCTGCATGGAGGGTGTATGGTGCTGTGGGTTTATCTGCCTTGTTATCAAGTCTTAAATGAGTCTGCATGAATCGATGCATACAAATTTGGGTATTTGGGATTGATGAGTTTGTTTTTGGTTCCTGTATAGAGACGCAAGTGCAACCACCTGAGCATTGTGAATGAAAGTGCTAATGAGGGCACTTTTATACACAGTTTTTCTCAGCCTTCCTGAAAATCTGAAACAGGTTTCTGGGGTTTTCAGTCCTTATTCTAAGCTAAATGGGGATCTCATACTTTACAAGACAGTAAAATGCAAACACCCTGTTGGAAAAGCAAAATCTTAATCTTACAATTGATAAGTTTAGTAATTAAACACAGAGTTTTTCTGCTACAGCCTTACTTGGTCTGGTGCACACACCTCCAAAATCAATGTGCGTGGCCCAGCGCAGCGAACATCATGATTAGTTCATTTCTCTTTATGTTGGGAGAAAGGCTCAAAAAAGTAACACTGGAACTGAGCTGTTATTTTAATGTGATACCCAAACTCTGTGTATGGATAGAAGAAATCAGAAAGTCTCTGAACAACACTTTACATACAGATGGGAGAAACATCTTCCAGGCCTTTAGTCGCAGTCAGTGCCTTTGAATTTTGACGCAGTGAGTTTGTTAAAATGGTGATTTGCTCAGATTTTACTAAAAAATGTGGGATGTTAAGATACACTAAGCTCATGAGACAATTCACAATATTGTCGAGATGATATTTTAACACTTTAAGAAATCTTCAATGACGCAATATATGACTGGAAAGATTGTCTTATATTCAACTTAAAGTCACAAAATGTAAAACAATGCAGGTGTATTACATGTTGTTTCGTGTCTGTCACTCTGTTGCTATTTATTGTTTCTACTGGGTACCCAAAATCCTGCCACTACAAACTTTTTGCACGAGATTTCCTCACAACCCTAATGTTTACCATTTTAACTTTTCACATTTTTGGAAATACAGTATTTGATTTCTTTCTGGGATTGAGATGGTCTGATGGATAATAGCTGCTTTCACACAGGGATCCCGCAATAAACTGTGGCTTTTCACAGACATCGTTCCGGCTCTTTTACTACCTACATTCAGATCAAATCTGACCCCCATCCATACCTTTCATACAGCGCAGTGAGCCGGCATATTGGAGTAATAATCCCAGAAAATAGGGCAGTGTGAAAGTGCCTAATGTGTGTTAGGGCTGAAACTAACGATTACTTTCATTATCGACTCATCTGCTCATTATTGTCACGATTAATCGACTAATTGTTTTGTGTATAAAATGTCAAGAAATTGTGAAAAATGCTCATCACAATTTTCCAGAGCACAATGTGATGTCTTCACATTGCTTCTTTGGTCCAACCAACAGTCCAAAACCCAAAGACTCTTTTTGCTTTAAAAAATGACAAATTGTCAAAATAGTTGTCGATTAATTTTCTTCCGACCGACTAATCAATTAATTGACTAATCGTTGCAGCTCTAATGTGTGTTGAGTACAGAGCTGGAGTCAGGAAATTAGCCTAGCTTATCATAAAGACTTGATCAAGGGAAACAGCTAGACTCCTGCCGCTTAAGCAAAATTTGTTATCTGGTTTGTTTTATATGCACCCAGACATGCACATAAAAACCACAGTTTGGGGTTTTAGGGTTTTAGAGTTAATGCTGAAACAGTATCTTAACAAATAAAAGTGAATCCATCCACCTGGCACTTCACTGAAGTTGCTCTGGCTACAGCTCTGGTGGTTCTCACTGGCAGATGTACCGTAAAAGCACCAGGAGAAATACATTTTTTCGTAAATTAACGAGCCTTTAACAAGCTCTTCATCATGACTGTTGGCTACTTGACGTTGTAGATGGCGTTAAGTGTGAGTCTAACCTAATTCTCTCCAGAGCGTACAACTGCTGCAGAAACAGGAGATCCTGACCTGCTGGCCATTCTGGCTCAAAGACGCCTTACTCTCTTACTACTAACTTGATACAAGGCCCATTAATGGCATGGCATGTCAAGCCTGAAAGCACTAACTCATGTCAGTCAGTGCTATACATGACAGTCAGAGGGCTGCGGTCAGATTATTTACTAACAGCCGTGACAGCTTTAAATGGACAGAATGAATTATATATATTTTATCTTTTTATGTCTTTATGCAGTAAATGTCAAGCAAAATGAGTAAACCTAAAATAAGTATACTGTACACTGGCTGGAGGGGTATCACTGGATTTAAATTTAGCCCTAGGACATCGGAAACAAACATAAATCCTCAGACTCTGCAGCGTTTGATCAGCTGTCTTAACCAATCTCTTACATCAAAGGTCAAAGGTCATTCTCGCCTCTCAACTTCTAATGAGCTGGCCCACTTTGGAGGTGTGAGATAGAAGAACATGGTGACACTGGATTGACACTTCCTTGGCAGATGTGTATGTTGTCACGCTGCCCTCCACCTCTCTTGGTCTTGCTCGATGTTTCTATACTTACCCGTCCTCTGGAAGCCTTCCTGAGTGGTCACATGACATGTAACTGCCAGAATTAGGTGCTTCAGTCCTCAAACATTTCAATACCAAGTGGGCACTTGCCAGGAAAGTCACGGCATGAACTGTGTTTCTACACCTTGTTTTCAACGTGACTTCCAGGTGCTGAACGATTCAGTCCCTTTGTTGGCTCTCCGCCTCTTCCTGATGTTTCTAGCATGAACGAGGGAGTCCATGTGGAAACAAATCCCCCTCTCTTAAGGTTTCACTGTGGTGTCATGAATTCTGCCACTGGAGATCCTTGACAAGCGGACAAACATTCCCCTGCGACCCCAACCCCCGTCCACTCCCCCCCCTCCTCTACGGCAGGAACGTGTCATCTAAGCCTTTGGAAATGTTGCGTTCATTCTGCAGGATTTATTTCAGCTCAGCAGAACTGTGGCAGTGAGAGGTTGGGATAGTTTAAGAACCCAGTTGTTTCATTTCTTAATGTCACAGTATGTCACGGACAAGAGATCATAAAAGAAGAGTGTTGTCGTACAACACAAATGAACACTTTCTAAACATTGATTGATTGAGAACTGTTGTTGTTCTGGCTACAGAATAGTCCTCTGAAATTTCTCAATTTTAACTTTTTGCTAATTGGCAGCGTACAAAGATTGTAGAGTAATCAACCAGCATGTTATCTTGTGTCATGTAACAGCTGAGCAGAGTGTAAAAGCAGTGCAGCACTTCCTTATTTATAGTCTTCTGGTAATCAAATTATCGTTCTACATTTCCTTTGAGATTGTAAACAGCGTTCCTCTCCATACACAGCAGGCCAGCGCCGTGTCGTGTCTATTGTTGGAAATAACCTGTTATTAATCTAATTACTTAACTAAAACTTTAACTAATATAACATCAGCCTTAACAGATGTTTTGCTTTATGATGGTGATGTTAGTTGGTCTGTGAGTGATTATTTGCATGACTTACTGTCAGAATGTTTTGCAGTTGTTGTTAAGGGACTTTTTATTTTATTTATTTGTTGATGATGTCGTCATCAGGGGTTATTTCAGCTTGGGTTTGGACTTTATGGAAGTCTAATGCTAAACAGCTGGAGTACATGTGAAAGAGTAACTGAAGGCGCCAGGATGAAGAATGTGCAGACAGTATCTCTGGTTCTGCTGCGTCGATATTTAAACTTTCCATTTAGAGTTGTTGCATTTGGTCAAGGGGATACACAGAGAAACAGGGGATCGGACACACCAAGACGGAGCTGGTACACTTTTAGAGTTTATTAAAACAGCGGTGAAAAAACGTCTTTAGATGGTGAGATAGACCGTCCAACAGGAAAAATAATTCCATAGTCCAGAAACCAAAATAAAAGCAGTGATCCAAGCAGGGAAGGCAGGTGAGATACAAAAGACAATACACAGTGATCAAGATCCAGGTACAGAAATCAGGCTGGGATTCTCAACAATTTCCAAGTGATGAAGCAACAACAAACAATAGGAAGACACTCCCTTAAATATACAAGAAGGGAGGTGATTAATGGAGGCACAGGTGGAAACACTCAACATAGACAGAGAAATTTAGACAAGAAACAAGAGGCAGAACACTTCAACATAAAACAACAGGACTACAAAGAACGACTAACCAAAAAGACAGGAAGTAAAATACACCTGACACAATGAAAAACATAATACAGAGAAGGGGGGGACGCAGAGAAAGGAAGTGAAGCACATAAACACAAGAGGAAGGATTGAACAAAATAAAGCAGGAAACACCAAAACCACAACACTAGTAGTGTTATCAGAGCGGAATGCTGCTCTTTAAACACCCCCTGAAAATCTTGATTTTACTGACCTCTTCTTACTGCAGCAATGTACAGGTGCAAGAAAGCACATTTCAGATCACAACCACCAGTGATGCTGGCTGTGGTCAGAGGTGAAACAAGCTTTTAACCAGAGAAGACCTTGCTTTTCAACCTGGTGTGAAGTTCCTCTCTAAAAGTCCCATCTTATGTTCATTTTCATTCTTTATTGTTAAAAAACACGTTATTTAGTAGGAGCACTAGGCCTCCCTGATTATTGTACAAAAACAACTTTATTCACTGGTTTTGGTGAAACTAGATCTGATTTTCTGGAGGAAATATTTTCTAGTTTTCCCTCTGATTGTCTTCCGGCTGCAATGCCTCAACTTTCCTTTTTTACTGTAAAAACTTTCTGTGAGATACACTGAGTGGAATGAGCGCTTGGTGTTGTGTTGGACGGTGGGTCTGATGCCTGCTCGAGAATGGGAAATTTCCAGGTTAAAATATCCGACATGATGGTACATGACGTCGAAAGTAAACGAAAAACATGGCTGACCATACCAAACTCTTTCTTTTGGTAATCCCCAAAAGTCAGTAAACATCAGTAAAAGGCTATACCAACACATTCTCATCTTATTGCGTCATATCTGACGCTTTCAGACAGCGTGACAAAGCATAAGTATTTTACGCTAAAGGTACCCTTTAGCCACCGTTTGCTACGTCCCAGCAACACAAAGGAGGCTAACCCTACCTGCTAGGTGCACAGCTGTAGGGTTAGCCAGTCAACATGCATAAAGTCAGTGACTTAGGTTTAGATACCAACATTTCTGATGGTTGTGGTAAGGGTAAGGTGACAAGATTTCTGAAATGAAAACCGGGGACATTTTTGGTTTGGTGGTCAGTATGTCATTAAAAAAATATGTTCTTATATATGAAATAAAAACGGGGGACAATTTCAGTTTCATAATCTGTCAAATATAACTCTTCTGAATGTCACTTTGAGGCAGAAACTAGCTTTCAGTCAATAAGTAGAGGCTGCAGTCACTTTCTGGCAAGTGGAATACTGCATTATGTGTGTTGTTTTGGCCATTTAAAGGCATTTTAAGAGGTAAAAATGTCACAGTTTGTGGGGTGAGGCACGTTGGTGGACCCAAGTGCAGACACGGGAAACAGGCAGGAACAGTTCAAAAGGTTTATTAAACCAAAAGTGAGCACACTCACATTTGAGTGGCTGACAAACAGAGTCCAAAAACAGGGTGATCCAACAGAAATCCAAACAGGATGACACAACTAGTAAGGCAGGCTGGCAGAACAACACACAGCAACATGGGACAGAGTGTAAACACGCTACAATGACCAGACAAAGACTAAACAGAAACACCAGGTATATATACTCACAGGGACTAACGAGCAGGGCGGGAGCAACACAGGTGACAGGGATCAAGGTTAATGAGGCAGAGAGACAGCAGGGAAAACAGAGAGAGAGGCAGGCAGATTACTGAGGGGGGAAAAGACAAAACACAAGTTACTCAACACTAAACACCAGAGTAATATAAATAAACTAATACAAGCAGACAGATCACAAATAAACAAACACCAACAAGGAACACAGACAGAAGCTAAGATTAAAGAGAACACAGAGCAGACAAGGGCAACATTACACAGGGGTACACAGACCAAAAGTAAACACTAAGACATGAACTGAGACACAGAACTAGGAGCTAAGATGCAGGGCTAACAGAGAACACAAGACCAGGAACCGAACCTCAAAACGGGAAACATGACAACTGACTAACAGAATGGAGTAGGGAACAGAGACGGAACCGACTGGGAACAGGACAACAATAAACACGGAACAGATCAAAATAACAAACACTGAAGTACACGAACCAGGAGTAGATACTAAGACATTAACACCGGACTGGGAACTAAGACATGGAACCAAAACACAGACTAAACTAAACAGAACTAAACAGAACAGATGACAGGACTAACATGCAAATACAAAACCAAACCCTCAGAATCAAAACCCAAAAACACAGCACTCAGGACTCAGGAAAAAAGTACTAGGTGAGTTATAATCTATCAAATATAACCCTCATGAATATAAACAAGTCATTTCAGGGAAGAAATAACGTTTCAGCCAATAATTAGAGGCTTCAATCACTTTCTGGCAAGTGGAATCCTGCATTTTATGTGTTGTTTTGGGCATTTAAAGGGATTTTAACAGGTAAAAAGGATTGGATTGGTCGGTATACAGCAGGTTAAATAATGTAATTATTTAGAGTAATAAGGATAATTGCAAAAGAGATCATGTCTTTATTTTATATATAACTCAGCAGTAAGTCCTGTTAATTATAGGCTACATTCCATTTTCTAAATGTAAACAAAGATATTAGACATACGCCTACCAAACACACAATCCATCAGCAGCAACAGGCTTCTGTTATTGCCTATAATTAGGTAAATGTCAGGCCTGGTTATGCTACAAAATGCAAACACTTGTTTGGCCACAATTGTGATTATTCTGTTAAAAGAACCGTTAAAGTATCACAAAGACAAACCTTTGCGACATAAAGTGATGTTTATTTGCACATTATGTCTGTTTGATCCAGATAAAAGCAGCTGTAGATGTAAAGAAACAGAGCGATGATATTTCATGCTACGCGTGCTCCCGCGGACATCAATCAGTTTCTGGCCACGTAAAATCTGATTTTATGTCTGTTAACACCTTATACAGTCTATGATTAACACACAGTTAAAAACGGGGACATTTCCGGGGACAGCTCCAGACGGGGACAGGCCACCAAAACCGGGGACTGTCCCAGGAAAACGGTGATGTCTGGTCACCCTAGGTAAGGGTTAGGGGGCTTTTGGGGGGCTTTAACACGAACGTGGCTAGCTAGTACTTCCGGTCTGTACAAGACGCCCCAAAGCGTCTCATAGAGACATATCTGGGAAGGATACCTTAGGATGGTCTCACTGTACTACCTAGCAACATTTTTCTACACTAATTTACATGCAGAACAGGTTTTACTATATGGGATAATAATATAATATAATAATATGGGACCTTTAAAGAGTCAATTAGCAAGGAATGGACAGTGTTGCGATTCTGTCAATAAAGGTTTTCAGTACAGATTACATTTACCAATTTATTTTAACCCTTAATATGTTAATATGATCTCTTTCTGTCTGTCAGTGAAGCTGTTTCCAGTCACCTGTGAGTACATCAAAGGAGAGAAACAGTTCTACTACAGAGCTCAGCAGTTCTACGAGGATGTTCCCGCCTCGGAGGAAGGCATGATGGGAGATTTTGTGGACATAAGCAATGTTGATCTGGAGGGTTCCCGGCAGTTTCTGAAGAGGTTTGTGGTGAGTCACGAGATATTAACTATTAACAGATCAAAGGCTCAATCAGATCTGGGAAACTGATACGGGAACATCTGAGAAGCGCTGCTGGTTCTCCATCGTTTACACACATTACTGTGATTTCTAACTACCGTCCGTATATCAATTTACTCTGCTGCAGCTATCTCTGAATATAAATGTCCGAATCTGTTTTGGGAGAGAAATTCATCATCCTGACAGCGTACAAAGGATTCCATGTTGTTTCATGTGGGAGGAGGCCTCAGTTCAGTTTCTAATAGTAGCACAGACTTAATGCCAGCCCCATAAACACCCACACAGACAAAGTCGAGCCAACAGCTCTCAGTCAGTTTGTGCTATGGACATCTTTACTAGCACTTGTTAACAGCGGAGGAAGGAAGAGATATTTCTTAGTTGTTTCTGTTGAGAAATATCTTTACTTTCATAAATTGCAATGTGATGCATATGATGTATAGATTGATAATGCCTATACGCTAAGTGTGAAGCCACCAGTAGCACATCATATGTCTCAACATTTACGTATGCGAGGGTTTTTTTTAGATGTTCGGAGAGTTCAAGTGCTAATTCAGGGGAATGGTTTTGGCCAGAGACTGGGTTATTTAGAGGATCAGTTTTACAGGAGCTCTAATTATAACCTGCTAAGACTGGATGCTTTAAAAAGGAACTTGGCTCCTTTTGCATGGGTGCTAATGTAAACACAACAAGCCCTGTCTTAACACAGCTCAGCTGTGATACTGTAATACAATACTGAATAGTGAATATGTTACCATAAATGTCTGTTTTCTAGGTTCTGTCTGTCTTGAGACACTGTTAGATTACAGGGTTTGCTTTATTGTATGTACGTTTCATAAGGTTAACATTGCAGAGACCGCTGATCAAGACTGTCTATCAGTTATTTTCATTATTGATTGATCTCTTGACAACAGTAATAAAACAGCAGATTCCAACATTTGAGATTCCTGAATCTGAAAACGTTTGCTTTGTAAATGACCTAAATCATTAACAAGTTAGCCGAGGCTTTGGTGAATCATTTCTGTCGTTTGAGTAGTCAATTAATCGACACTTTCAGCTCCAAACAGGATAAAAGTAATTACTAATCAGGTCGTCTTAAATGCAACTAAAATCAGTACAAAGCCTAAAGAGTTCTAGTTAGTCTATATTTAAATAATTGCCCTTATCAGCACAAGTCAATGAGAAACTTACCACTCTCCCTCTTTTCACTAATTAAATGCTGAGTGCACTTAAGAAAATGTTCATAGATCTCTCATTTGCATTGTGGCGGGAAAACATTAAAGCCAAGACAATAAATTCACAGAAATGCAAAACAAGTCAGTAAAACCTGATAGAGAGTCAATACCTTTTTTGTACCGTCTCTATGAAGGAGATGTATTGTGTTTTTTAGGCCTAAACGCTTCTCCATTGGACTGATTTTAAACCCAGTGAAGTTGTAGAGCAGCATTGCCAGATGCTGGAAACCAAATAATCAGACAAAGACAACACTACCATATTTCAGGTCAAACTTTTGTTCACTCACATCCAAACTGCACCAAGAACAGAGTTTGTGTTGTAAATGAATCCGCACAGCAGTTCTCAATGCATCCATGAGCTCACCAAGTTAACTGCAGGGGGCTCTGACTGCGGGCCAGTTTTCCATAGACTGTCGTTTATTATGCAGGCTATGGAACACACTATGCATCCTTTTGTTTCAGCGAAGAGGTTACGGGAAGCATGTTGTACCACAAAACCTGAGGGATGACCACACCAAACTTAAACCAAACTAAAGTCGTGAAACACAAAGAGTTTATAAGAAGCTGTGAGTGGCGACAGTAGCTTTCGGATCTGCGACGAGATGTGACTGGATCATTTATGGCAGATCCAGGCTCAGTTTTCTATAACAATATATGGTTGACATAGTGGTTTTATGAATTGTTGGTTGGTAGATATTGTGCAAAGGGCTAAAATAAAAAAAATCATAGACATAATTATTGTATAGCTGGCAAAACTGAAAAATAACTGACCTCTGTATTACAGAAAGGTCTGGGTTGATAAAACAGCAAACCGTTTCTTCAGTGTGACACGGTGTAACAGCATCACATAAACGAGTTCAAATGCCTGCGTGGTACGTGTCAGTGAGACTGAAAGGCAAACTGTATTTAGTGCTCTCCAAATAGTTTCTTTCTGAGATAAAGTTTGTGATGTTTGATTCAATGTGGAGTCTTGGCGTTTGTTTGTGAGCTTCTAATATAAACGCAAAGACTGAATGATAAACTAAAAACATCCACCAACTCTTCTACAGATGTATGCGCAGTTTGTCCTGTACCGTCTCCGCCCTGGCTGTGAACAGCTCCCGTTTGAACCTGACATCTCCGTTAACAGCCAGTGTGGTAGGAAAAGATTTAGAATACATCCAGATTAAAGTACATACACAGGGAGCAATGTGGCAGTAATTCACCCAAACCAGGAAGCCTCCTGTAACAAGCACAGAGCTCCTCAGGGCCCCATCTTTCATACAATCACACACTGGGGCCCCTAATGCGGAGGGGTTGGAGTGAGGTCAGAATACCAAATGAAAAGCAAGAAAAACCAGCATGACTCAAGCGAGGTGACTTTCTGTTCCCTCGTGGTAAAGTTCATAGTTTCGTTGCCCTGAGGAACTGAGGGTCTACTTGTTTGTGCTGTCGGTGCTTTTGAGGTGCAGAGGCCTGACATCTGGCAACACGGAAAATAAAGAATACACTCCTCTATGACTTATGGATATGGTAATAACATGCAGCAGGAAAACTGACATTTTGTTTTCTGTTAAACATAAATCCAGCTCTTCTTCGTTTTATGGTTGCCTCAGTTTTATTGCCAAAACCCTTCAATCGAGGTATTTCACTGACTTTATCCTCTAGATAAACCCCTAAATAAGGTTGAATTTAACGAACTGAATGATTTATCCCTTTTCTTCACGCGCAGGGTCCTGGTAAGGCCGGTACACACTGTGCCCTTGACTGTGGCTGCGGGATCGGCCGCGTGTCCAAAGGCGTCCTCCTTCCCGTGTTTGAAAAAATGGAGATGGCGGACATGATGGAGCACTTCCTGCTCCACGCACACGAGGAGTACCTCGGTGAAGACGCTGACCGCATTGAGACCTACTATTGCTACAACCTGCAGGAGTTCACGCCTCCAAAAAACAAGTACGACGTCATCTGGATGCAGTGGGTGGCATGTGAGTATGAGAAGGGTCTCGTTGCTCGTAGAGTGATGCCATGTTGGGCAAATGTAGAGTCATTGTGCGGTCTTATTTTAACCCTGTACCAAAAGACAAAATGTCGATGTTCGACAATTCAGCCAAACCACATTACATTTAATTCCAACATTTTGTTAATTATTTAATCCTATTTGTCTGGGAAAGACTGTGGTTATTGCAGATAATTTCTGGTAATGGTTATTTTAAGGTTAGGGAAATATTTTTATTAAGGTAAAATAAAACAATAAAAACTGCGGCCTCCAGAGCAAAAGTTAGACGTGCAAAACGCCTATCCAGAACCCGGACCTCCACACCCTAATGATGTGTTCACATACAATGCGAATTTAATCCTCGCAATGCTTTCCTTGAGCAGGTTTTATTGCTGGACAACTGCCAAGTGTTCACACAAAACGCGATAATGTGCGAATACTACAGCTAGATGAACCCAAAGTAAACATTTTGCTGTGATTTAATTGCAATAAACGGATCAAACTGATGCCGTACAATATCCACAACATAATGCCGATTTGTTACAGACAAATGACTTCATGCTTTATCAGGTCATTCAGCAGGACAACAACTTTTAAAATATTTCTTTTCTGAATGGAGTTCGGATCGATCAGGGCTATGCTATGCTAACTTGTTCACAGTAAAGTACCATAGATGGAATAAAGTTACAGACACATATTTTCTGAACTCACCAGGTAGTTCAACTTTCTCGCTTTCCTTTCTCCAAGCAATGTCCAGGTTTTTATATAAATATGAAGTAGTAGTCCAACAGAGCTCTGTGTGCCAACCAACCCTAACAACAACAGTGGAACCGGATGTGCACAGAAGCTAGCTGCTGCGAGGCTTGAGTGAAGAGAAATCAGTGTTGTAAAAGTAAAAAGCTAATTACCCGCAGGTAAGCGGCGTAGTTGTCGGGGAAAGAATCCAGATCAGCTACGGGTGTTTCTCTGTCTAAAAGCTGCAGCGCTGATCCCTGTAGTTTAGCAGCTCTCTGTTGGCCAGCGGCACGTCACTCCCCCGTTCTGCTTGGTCTTCTCCAAACAAGGCTCTGAAGCTGTCGGTGACATCTGGACAATCTCACTGCTGATAGGCTTTCGCATCATAGTGTCATGCGAATTTCTCGCTCAAGTTGAAAAATTTGAACTCGAGCAAACCAGTCGCAAGAAACGCATCTTCCGCACCGGCTGGAGCGAATTTGCAGGAATTAACATGTTTGCATTGACTTTGTATGTAATCAAGCCGCCCAAAACACTGGATTTGCTTTTAGTGTGAACACAGCATAAAGACCACATTGGTATACTCATTGGCATTGGACGTAAATTGCTGCGGATACCCATTTTTTTTTAAAGATGAGACTCGTATTGATTTCCAATTACCTGACAAGAGTGACTCCTCAGTGATTATAGATATCTTATCAGACCTGGAAATACCTCTGGATCCTCCAGGAGGCGCTGCTGACAAGGACTGCTGGCCTTGTTTGCTTGTTTAGATTGAAAATTAAAAGATAATCTTTTGCTTTTTTTTATCAGTTCCTGTCTTGCCACCAGATTGCAGAAGGTCAACCAATGCGTGAAGCAATGTAACATGTTTGTATGTCAAGAGTTGTTGACTCCATCTGCCTAGGGCCGCTTTGGCGAACGCCAGTAGGAGGAAAACAGAAACAGGTATCTCAGTTGTGACTGGTTTCTCTTCATTCCTTACCCGTATTTCTCTTCAGGCCATCTAACAGACAAGGACCTGATGAACTTCCTGTTTCGCTGTAAGAAGAGTCTGCGTCCAAACGGGGTCATCATAATTAAGGACAATATGGCGCGGCAGGGCTGCAAGCTGGACCCCATCGACAGCAGCATCAGCCGCCACCTGGACATCATGAAGAGCATCATCGCAAAGGCCGGCCTGGAGGTCCTGGCTGTTGAGAGGCAGGAAGGCTTCCCTGAGATCATCATGCCTGTCTGGATGATTGCTATGAAATAGACATTATTCATTTAAAATAAGAGGAAAATCCAGAAAAGGCAGAATTCACGTGTAATTCCCCTTTTATTTAAGTTTAGATTTGTGATCAGGTCTCTGAAAACTACAACAACACTGAGAGAAATCTTCAGGACATAAATCGCAAAACAGCGGTGTGGACGGCGTGATGGCAATTTTATGGAGGCGAGTTCTTTTTCTGCTCAGCACAGAAATGATATACATGGATATTAAACGTCTACAGAAGCACTCTGCATGTCCACAAGGCCAGACTGTAATTTATTGTCAGCCGACCACCTCCGGGGTTTGTATCTCGATGACGTCCAAGATAGACCCTCAGTCCTCTGGAGGCTGACTGTGGAAGAAGCTTGTTCCTGTCTGAACCACGAGGATCATTGGAAATACATGTGCATTCACAGTTACTGTTTGGTTTCTCCTCTGAGTGAATGATTTCTATTTGTTTTTGACTAAATCCAACATATTGACAACAATAATGTATCATGTTAGATTTGTTTATATTTCTTTATATTTTTGAATATGAGTAACATGTAATCTGTATCTGGATACTTTCTCTTGATAATGACATCTAAACACAGGCCTTTGCATTTTTTAAAATCTGCCCGCATTGCAATCAGATCTCAATATGCAAGTTAGGCAGGAGGAGCTGGTGCACCTGTCAACAAACATACAAAATGCATCCCAGGTCAAAGGCAGCAAAGGGATCGTCACATGACAGACGGAGACAGCTGAAGACATCCATAGGCTACTTTTCAGTAGCCTTACTAACTCGGCTACTGTTATTTCAGCCGGTCCCAGACCAAACATTAGCTGCTACTAGCATAACACACCCCAATCTCTGACTGAACTGTTGACAGCTGAGTTGCATTATTGGCAAAAAGACTGAAAATCACTTTTGTAGGCTCTGGGAAAGTTTTAACAAATATGACACCAACAACGACTAAAAACGCAACCTTTCAATTTATTGTGCAGGTTTTTTTTCTAGGCCATGGACTGCATTTACTCTAGACCACCTCCAGTTGGGGTCTGGCCGATCTGACCATATTCCATTTGCATTGCGTACTGTGCGCATTTACATCCGCATTAACGTGTTTTCTCCAGCGAAGATATCCAGGAACAGATCGCATACCAACAAGAGATGAAGTCGTAATGTCACCTTTCAGTACAGCCTTTTATTTAGCACTTTATTTTGCAATAGAAATAATGTTAATTAAGTCCGCTTAGTACAGATTGATCAGGTGTAAATATTAATTTTGTTTATATCTGTTTTATACCTTTGTTTGTAATATTGCAGATTAATAGATATGTCCTTTTTAAATCACCTTCTTCTGTGCAATTCTTTCTGTGAAGTGCTTAAATTTAGAGTATAGTTATTTAAGTTGCTTTACTTACTTAAATACCACTTTTCAGAACTACTTCAATACATTTTGGTGCATCTTACTGTATGTTTGCTAGAATTCAGTTGAAGAAGTTCAGCTGCATTGTTTTTCAAAAATAAAAACTCGGAAAGCATATGGATGTAGTTTTATGATTTTTGAATGCTCTTTTCTTATATGTTTTTCATCCCATGTTCCAAACAAAGGCTAACAGGATTAGAGATGGGTAATCACCGTTGGCTATTATAATCAAAACTGGAACATAAAGTAAGCCAATTTTCTCTAAACACTCCTACAGACCGTCCACACCCGCCACTGACCGCGCTGCAATCTTCCAGAGTGGGCTCAAAACACAGTAGATAATTGAGATCCTCTCAAATCATTATGGTAATTCTCCTAAGTATTATAACTATTTTTTTTTTCAGTCTAACAGTAGAAGCAGCACATTGTTTTGGGGGTAATGACTTTCAGCTGGGCCCCTGAGGTGGATGGTGGAGTTGATTATTTCCTGGTTTTGACAGACAGTGCCTGCTTTCATATCTGCCCTGGCTTCATTTCAAGCCTGTCAGATGTTGTCTGCATAAAACACATCCAGGAGTCGCCTCAAATATTCAGCACTTGCGTGCGTAAGAGCTCGACGGGAGTGGCGCGGCGTTGTTCCTCCCTGATCTTTTTATGAAAGGACAGTTTGTGAATGAGTCGACTGGCACCGAGAAAGTACAAAATCATCAAAGTGTTGAAGGCAGGATGGCGTGAGATGATCACCATGGCGTGTTTCTCTTGTCAGAATGACTCTTTTGAGATGTGAATATACCAAACACATTTTCCACATCCTGAATGAATTAACTTGTAGGTATTTTTCCCTCCCCCAGCAAAATAGCAGCCAAATGTGCTGTCACCTTTTCAGGAGTGGTTAGCTTCGCTGACAGTCAAGGCTATCGTTTCTAATACTTCTCAATGTCTTCTGCAGCCACTCAGCAGCAGTTCGAATATATTAGCTGCAGTAACACTAATTTGTGCAGTCACGTCAGCAGAGCTTTGGGCCTGATTCCAGACCGAGTATATCTCAGACAGAGAGACAGGAGGAAGACAGAGACCGCAGGGGGATGTAGTGACCAGCACTGTACTTAAGTGTCATCGCCTAAACATGCAAAACACTTCTGGGAACTGTTCAACTTAAAGCCAAGCAAGAAAAAAATCTAAATAAATACTTAAATTGGCTGCTTGGAATCCCCAGACTCATCTCAGGCAGAACAGCTCAAACTTCTGCATGTTTTGAAGGGCTATTGGCACCGATCCATAAGTCTTTCAAAGGTAACTACAAAAGACAAGTAGTTCCCGGGTGTCACAATTACCTCGGAGGCAGGGCTGGACAGGGACAAAAAAACCAGCCATGGCATTTTTGGCCGAGGCGGCCCACCAAAATCAGTCGGACACCCCTCACCAATACACAATCGCTCCATTTAGGGGGTCAGATTAGGGATGTGATGAAACACTGAGACGTGACATTGCACAAGATTGGTGTCCATGACTACAAGAATATATTGTAATAGATGTACTATTTAGAAAAAAAAATTTTACATAAGAAAGATTTGTAGCATTAAACACTTAATTTCCTGCATTGTGGGGCCATTTTCTGCACCAATTTATGGGGGAAATGTCTTTATTTTTATAAAGGGAAGCACAAAATTCAGGTGGCAGACATTACATTGCATTGCAGGTTTTCTTAAGTACAAATAAACCTTTCTTATAGCATTTTTATCTGTTAATTAACATTTCTTGGTGCAAGCTATTTTTCAGACCATTTTTAACAAATGCTTTCAAAAAGTGGTGGCTTCATGTCCCCAGCGTCCCCAGTGTGAATGCCTACTGCTACACCTCCATGCTTACTACTTCACCTCTACTCTCCTCCTGCTCTCACTCAGCCCTGTCACCTTGTCCCTCTGTTTCGCTAACACAAGCCTCCTCCTCTGCCTGCCAGGGGCAGCTGTGCTTGCTCAGGAGGTTGAGTGGGTCGCCCACTAATCACAAGGCTGGCGGTTCAATCCCCAGCTCCCCCAGGCTGCATGGTCAAAGTGTCCTTGGGCAAGATCCTGAACCCCGAATTGCCCCTGGTGGCTGTTCCACCAGTGTATGAATGTTAGTTTCCGTTTGAGCACTTAGGCTCAGTGCCCAGGCTGAATGTGTATGACTGGTGAGTGCAGATGTAGTGGTAGACAAATACAGAGCATTTACATGTATCCTATCACAGTGGACATTTTAGCATTCAGCAGTACATGAAAAAGCTTCAGTATGTTTTCTTTAGTAAGTAACCTCAAAGAGTAATAACTAAGTTTCAGTTTCAGAGTTTAACACAACAGCCCACTCTCCCCTCTCATCCCTTTTCTGTCTTATTTCTTGGGATCACAAATAGAAAGAGAGACATGCTGCTGGAACCAAAAGTATTGGCTTGGCTTTTTACCTATTTTGTTACATTACAGCCTTTGGTTCAATGTTTTTTTAATCTGAATTTTAACACAATAGTCTGTTGGTGAAGTGAAATGAGAAAAATATAAACATAAAACTATTTTTTAGAAGTGCTCTGGTGCAACTAATTACCTGTAGAAGTCATATAATTAGTGAAATGAGGCCCCAGAGGCTGCAACACTAACCAAACACTGCCATGAAGACCAACGAACTCTCCAAACAAGTAAGGGACAATGTTGTAGAGAAGTACAAGTCAGGGTTAGGTTATAAAAGAAATATCCAGATCTTTGATGATCCCCAGGAGCACCATTAAATCTATCATAACCAAATGGAAAGAACATGGCACAACAGCAAACCTGCCAAGACACGGCCGCCCACCAAACCTCACGGACCGGGAAAGGAGGGCATTAATCAGAGAGGCCGCACAGAGACCTAAGGTAACCCTGGAGGAACTGCAGAGGTCCGCAGCAGAGACTGGAGTATCTGTACGTAGGACGACAATAAGCCGTACGCTCCATAGAGTTGGGCTTTATGTCAGAGTGGCAAGAAGAAAGCCATTACTTTCAGCAAAAAACAAAATGGCACATTTTGAGTTTGTGGGAGACTCGGTGCTTTGGTCTGATGAGACTAAAATTTAACGTTTCGTCCATCAAAGAAAATGCTATATCTGGTGCAAACCCAACACATCACATCATCCAAAGAACTCCATCCCCACAGTGAAACATGGCGGTGGCAGCATCATGCTGTGGGGATTTTCAGCAGCCAGGACTGGGAAACTGGTCAAAGTTGAGGGAAAGATGAAGGATGCTAAATCCAGGGATATTCTTGAGCGAACTCCGTGCGTGATTTGAGGCTAGGATGGAGGTTCACCTTCCAGCAGGACAATGACACCAAACACACTGCTAAAGCAACGCTTGAGTGGTTCAAGGGGAAACATGTAAATGTGTTGGAACGGCCTAGTCAAAGCCCAGACCTCAATCCAATAGAAAATCTGTTGTCAGACTTAAAGTTGCTGTTCACAAGGGCAAACCATCCAACTTGAAGGAGCTGGAGCAGTTTTACAAGGAGGAATGGGCAAAAATCCCAGTGGTAAGATGTGGCAAGCTCATAGAGACTTATCCAAAGCGACTTGGAGCTGTGATTGCCGCAAAAGGTGGCTCTACAAAGTACTGACTTTAGGGGGGTGAATAGTTATGCACATTGACTTTTTCTGTTATTTTGTCCTATTTGTTGTTTGCTTCACAATAAAAAAACAAAACATGTTCTGCATATTAAATGCAGAATTAAAATCCTCAAACAATCCATGTTAATTCCACGTTGTGAGGCAACAAAACACGAAAAATACCAAGGCACTGTATAGGACCAGGCAAGTGATCCCACAGACTGCATCTTGAAATAAGGTGCAACCCCGTGTTGTTAACCCTACTGATTGCTTGCTAAATGGTCAATTGTGTCCAACAGATCATGGAATAATTGTATAATGTATGATGTGTGTCCAGCTTTAAAGGTTCTATGGGGAGTATTTTTAATGAAATGAATCACTTCTGTGAAAGGGTTGTAACCTCACATAAAAATGAACCATACGCCAGCTTTCTCAGTTACCTCTGATGGCCTCTGCGCAGCCTTACATAAGCTGTGACATACATGTGCACTTCCAAGCCTCTTGGCTACTGATTCTGAACCATACACACTAATGAAATGGAGTCTGCTAACACCAAAAAAAGGACCTGCTTACAGCACAACACAAACTCCACTTAAGGATAAAAAACTATCAATCATGTCGGCTAAATACAGCTGATGGAAACGCACCTAATATCATGTTTCTTTTATTACCATTTCAAAAGTTCACTAAAAATTAGCTTTACAATTAGATGGAAACATGGCTAGAGAGACAAGATACAGAGGGATCACAAGAAGCCACCTGAGCGCCATATGGCGGCAGCAACACGTGTCCAACAGCTGGTCCCACACAAGTGAGCTAAGAGGAAGAGGTCTTTGATGATCACCTAATCAAAAAAGGTCTGGCCAGGTAATTAGCCCTCAGATAGGAACAAATAAAGACCCCCTGATTTACTGAGGCAGGTGCAAAGCGACGGCAGCAGCAAGGAGGGGGGTTAAATCATGATGCCGGCTCAACATTGTGATGTCTGTCAGCCATCGGCGATGGATGATGGCATCGTCTATCCAACCCAACCCTATTCACTAACAAAGAGCACGCCAATGCGAGGTATGAAAGGGTGGTTTATTCGGATAATAAGGAGTATTTATGATGGAGGGATTGAGGGGACAGGGGTGAAAGGGTCGAGAATGGAGGGATGAAGGGCTTGTTTAGGTTTAGTGGCCTGGAACTGCTAG